TATTTTCTGCCATGTGTCACGTCTCAGACAGCAGATCATTTTAAAACATCTTTTAGTATTCTTTAGTATTGTCTATAGAATTTCATTTAATATTAATGCAAAAGATTTCTTCAATGATCAGGGCCCCAGTACAGCTTTATAGTAGGCCCCAGTACGCCCCCTGCTCTTCACCCTTGTGAACACCATAGCGACATCAAGAAGGCTAAACAACTCTCTACACAGTTTGACAAATATTGCTGCTGTTGGACAACTTAATGGACTTGAGGCTTTTTTTAGTTGAGAATGTAGTTGTTTAGATTGCTACTGTGCAGTTTATTGATAATGCCCATTTGAAAATATGTTTTCATAGCACACTCGAGCAAAAAAACTGACGTTACATTGTTCTTCCACAAGATGACGACAGAGACCGCATAACAGGCTGGGGAATAAAAAATGTTTTTCTGAGCGTAAAATTAAAACGAAACTTGAACAAACCATTATAGAACTGGAGAGTGACTTTCTAAGCCGACTTCTCTCTGCTGTGTTTCTTGTAGTGCTTGCTTTGTTTTGCCTTTTTCAGGGTTAGATATTGTGATCTCCTGATTGCAACAGAGAAATACTGGGAAATATCTTTAGACGGATTTCATGCCATTCAGTCAAATAATCTTAAAATGTCAGCAAATTCACCTGTTTTGTGAATTTCACATATTGCCCTAGAGAATCATCCAAATACTAGCTCTAAAATGGTGTTGACAAATTAGTAATGGCTTCTGCTGTTCTGATGTCAGCTGCACATGTGATAAAATGCAGATGTGCAACAACTTTAACTATGAGGTAAACACAAAATAAAACTTTCCATCCAGAGCTCCTTCACGGGACTCCACACTTGTAAACAATCGCTCCATCAGGCTCATGCCACTCGCGTGGCTCTCGGTCCCACCCAGACTAATCAACGCTAACAAGCCGACCAATCACAGAGCTTGCGCCACGCGGTTGCAATGTGTAGTTACATTTTTTGAGAGGTCCACGTCAGCGACGCCTACGGCCACAGCGTAGGGCTATGCGTCGTCACGTAGGCTGCGCCGTAGCATACGCGTGCGTTTGACGCAGAAGTATAAATCAGCCTTAAGGCCCCGTTTACACTGTCAGGTCTTGATGCCCATATAGGACTTGTTACCTATATCTGATTTTTTTTGCCTGTTTTACACGGTTTTTTTAATTTTGACCCATATCCAATTCATGTGTTTATACTTGCCATAGAATTTACGATGCTGTGCATGCATAAAGGCGGGTTCTAGCACGGGTGCCACACTAGCCACGATGGAAGAAATTGTCTTGTTTTTAGCTCTGTGAAATATGCGAAGTGTAGTATAAGCAGTGAATGGTTTAGTCCAGATTTACCCCCACGCAGTTTATGTAATGGTATGGCCCTGAAGTGTGTGTGTAGTTGAAGATGTAGCCTTTGCCTGAATGCGCACTGGTGTTGGAGTGAATAAATTTGTTTTATGTGTTGCCCGCAGTGCGTGTATTAATAGCGACAAAAAGCAAGTTACAACACGAGGTTCGCCCAACTTAAATGATTTTGAGGCGGTGGAGGTGGGAAAGGGCCGTCATCGCAGCTTGTGCCTATGGTTTATATACTATTTGATGTCCTCCATCATTCAGAGGAATTTGTGGGTATGAGAGAGATCTCAGGTCTGGTGGGAACAAATTGTGGCGACTGACTTCTTTTAAATTAAAACCGCGGAGAAGCACCACATTTTCGGTCGCAGGTTTAATGACATACAAAACAGGAAGCCTCAAATCTGATCTGCCTGTTTACATGACAGTCGTATTGTCACATATCTGATTTATAACTGATTTATTTACACATATGGAGGCCTGAAACCGATCTCTGAATATCCAAATGCATGCGTTTTTTTCTGTTTACACAGTCATAGAACAAATGCGATCTGTGTCACATATGAGCAAAAAAAAAAAAAAAAAAAAAAAAAAAAAAAATTCGGAATTAGGTCACATGTAACTGGCAGTGTAAACAGGGCCTAAGTTACTTGGCCTCCACTTCTGATATACAGCCACATCACACTGCCACAAGTGTGATATATATATATATATATATTAGTGCTATAAATCGATAAAAAAATTAACTAATTAATCACACTTTTTTTTGGAAAATTAATCGCGATTAATCGCATTTAAAATACTGAAACTTGTAATTTTGGCTATTCAAATGTAAAATTAATATAAACGCAAGACAAAAACTATTTAAAGTTGTAGTAATAATATAAAATAAAAAATAATAATAATAATAAAGTATTGAATACAAACAGTTGCCGCAAATGCACTCTCCACCGCATCCCTCCTAGCTCTTCAGGTATGTTGTGCGCAACTCACCCCCACCGCTCTTAAGGTACGTATTGCGCGCACACGCCCCAACTCCGATAGGTCACTCACTCAACCCCTGACACCCCTCAATGGGCCTGACAGACACACACACAACGCGCTGGAGCGACTCCTTTCAGATTGAACACGCATGATCGCGTTTATCAAATTTGCTTAAACTAAGCGTTCTTAAGTATGTCTATATTTCACAATTCTGACACAACAACGTGAAGCATACACTTTCGTTGCATTTAATAAGGAAACACGTTAAATTTAATGAAACATTGGAGGGCTCATGCTGAAAGGCAGAGTCTTTGACAGCTCACGACTTCACCAGACACTTTCTGAGTACATTTACATAAGACAGCAATTCTCCGATTTTAATATGATTAAGATAATATTCTTATTAAGAGTCTACCGTGTAAGCAGCGAATTGATTATCAAAAAAATTATTGCCTTCAAAAAGTGCTTCCTTGATCTTATTCATATTTAATTAACACACGTCCACCACAACAGGAAGTAAAAAAAAAAACCCTGCAACTGTGTTCATTTCTTTTAAAGCGTTCATTATTTCAAATTAATCGCATGCGTTAACGCACTAATTTGAAATTTAACAGCACTAATAAATTTAGAACAAAACACAATTTAACCAAGTGTTGTAGGTTGTTGAATTTTATTGCAGCTTTACATAACTTCACTATTGTAGTATATTACAGAATTAAATTTATTAACATGATGGCAAAGATACATTTTTATAATGTTCATTGCAACATTATTTCTCAAAATCCTTCAGTTCATGCATGCAAGTTTGCATCCCCATTTTTCCACTTTCCATGCTGTAAACAGTTTTAAGGATTTTTTTATAGCTGTAAATAAAAACCTCTAGTAACATTATGATGTCTTTACTGCTAATTTTAATTGATAAGTTGCAATCTTCTGATTAATTAATTTATATACAAAAGGCATCATTAATCCGGTTTAATTACTGCCTACCATTTAATATTCACTGCACAAGCTAGAATATAAATTACCACAGAAAGACATACACATACAGTTAAACTCACTAATTTCCCACATTCATTAGATTAGACAGATTACATTGTGCTGACTCACATTGGCAGGCTGTCCGTTGACCTGTGTCTTCCCCACAGTCTCCACTGAAGAGTTTGAGCTTGTGTTGATGGGGACAAAGTGCTCAGGTCGCCCTATAAGTGTTGAAGTGGCACTTGTCAAATTGATTATCTTATGGCTCTGGTATGGTAGGGAAGGTTGGCCACTGCCCCAGTCTGTCCAGTACCCAAAACATACATCAGCAATTAAGAAACGTCAAGGACACAAATGAGTGAACTTGTCAGTGACGTACATCAGGATTTTAACCAGAATTGACCATTGTTTGTGTAAAATCATGTGTGATTATTGAAATTAACTGTGCCTATATTTAAATGATGAAGAAAGATTACTGGTGCAATTGTGAAAACCCATGAAGCTGCAGGTCTTTATACAACTATATTAATACATACTGTAAATATCGGTTAATTAAGGTATTCTTATCTTGTGATTCGTCGACTGTTTTCCATTTTTTATGGTTATGAATTGTATTTAATGACCTTGATCTCCACTTTGTCTACTTTTGATGTTCAAAATTGAATGCAGCAGTATAACTAAATGACTTTTATTGACATTTTAGTAGTTTGAAACAATACAATGTATGATTAATAATAGATATAAAGGATTAAGTTATTAAAATAACAAAACAAAAAAAAATACTGGCAGTTTAATATCAGGTTTTTGTACCACACTGTAATTTACAATATCAAGGTCCCATAATGCAATTCAAGAGTAAACAAATCTCTTAAAAAAAAAAAAAAAAAGATGAATCACAAAATATGAAAAAAACTCTTAATTTACAGGTATTTTTTACAGCTAGGACAGTGACTGACAGACAGATAGACCACCTTCCCACAGTGACAAAGACAGACAAGAAAAAATAATACCCAACATCAAATTGCTGCCGTTTCTACAAATCCTTTGTCTTTTAATTCCAGAGTACATGCATGCAATATTCTACTCCACATATGAAAAGTGCCACAATAGACCATAGATGTGATTTAATGAGCCATTTGATTTGTGTTTGTACAAATTCCTTTGTTAGAAGCACTAAATTATACTGAAATGATGCTGTGGCTCATACACTCTTACAGATCCTCACCATTCTGGCCGTGCCGTCGGATGTCCATCAATAAAGTGCCATTTTGCTGTGCTGTTTCCATGCTGCTTTTGAACTGCTCATAATTCATTTCATCCACCCTGCGTCCTCCCAGCGCCACAATCTCATCACCCATCAGCAGACCATATAACTCTGCTGGGCTGCCTATGATGCAGAATAAAGGGAAAGGATTATTTAGGATGATCACTTTCAATCATCTTCACTGTCATAATTGACTTTTAAGGGGATGGGTCACCCCCCAAAATTAATGGTATGGGAAACACTGATATATGTTAGCAATAGGATCACAAGCTGAAACGTTTTAAACAAGCTTATTACCTAAAGAAATGTGGCATGTGGGAAAGCCCACATCAAACCCTCTCTGCTAATAGTTCCAACAAAGTCAAAAGTGCATGGCGCAAAACCATTAAGGGCATGTCCGAATCCATTTTTGCTGTTTTAAGCATAGAAAAATATGTTCTGCGCCTAAATTGGTTGTGCTTATTCTCCTAATGAGGTATGGGTGTGTTTTGAGCATAACCTGCATTAAACCAATCAGAGTCTTATCTCCCATTCCCTTCAAGAGTCAGCTGCATCGCGCCATGGTGCATTTGCTATTTACATGGTGCACTTTGTAAGTGGAAAAACTGAATGCTTCACTACCACAAGAATAAAGAATGAGCCTCTTCCATTTGGCCTCTTTACTTTCTCTTTACTTTATTCCTTTACTTTTGTGGATAAGGAAACTGTGTTTTACGCCATTCACTGAAGACATTTAATAGTCTACATATTTAATTTAGTTTGTTGAGCACAAAAGATTTGTTTCAAAACCATTTCCAAATTCAGTTCTAATTTCTAGCAAATGAATAAATGAACAATAAAAACAAAGTGTGAACAAAAAAAACTAGTGTTTTTTTTTACATTTACGTAGAAAATAATATTTATTATTATTATTATTAATAATAATAATAATAATAATAATAATAATAATAATAATAATAATAATAATAATAATAATAATAATAATAACAAACTATGCCTTTAATTTAGAGATAAAACCTGGTGTTGAGTTATCTATTTTTGGTGTACCAAAACAAAAGATATTGTTGACAAACAAGGAAAAAAATTATACCGCCTTCGCTACTTTGTTAGCGAAGAATTTGTAAGGAGAAGAATACTACTTGAGTGGAAATCAGCAGCTTCACCTAAAGCTTCAATGTGGATGTGTGATCTTATTTTATATTTGAAATTATAGAAAATGAAATATTTATTGAAGGGATCTGTCAAAAAAGAAAATTATGAGACATGACAAGCTAGGGTCACATATTTAGAAAAAAGGAAGACTTTTGATTATCTGATTTCTATAAAGGATTCTGTGCAAACAGGTTTAACTGTGATCACCAATATGGTTTGGTTTTATATGCATGTAAAAGACCACTATAAATGTATCAGATTATTAATTTGTATTATATACTGTAATCAATTATTTATTTAAATTATTTTTTAAAGTTTATTTTAAGTTATTATTTTGAGTTCTTCTTATTTTATTCTTTTTACTTATTTATTTATTTATTTTATTATTATAATTATTTCTATTTTGTAATGTTTTTTTTGTAATCCTGTTGTAATTGTATTTTAATCTAATTTGTTTGCGAATTCTTTTTGGCAGCAGTTTTCAAAAATGGGGGGAAAAATTACAACCTTGATTGTACAAAATGTTTTGTTAAAGCATTGAGAAAATAATCACAAATAAATATAAAAAAAAATAATAACAACAACAATAAAAAATATATCTGCAAGCAGCAATAAAGGAGCCAAGCACTTTTCAAGCCAAGCACTGCTCCAGAAGTTTTTAAGTACTTTCAGGGCATGGGGTTGAAGATGCATACCATGTTTTGTAATGAAATGTGAATGTGTTGGTAAAATGTAGCATTTTTGGCCAAAAATCTAAATGGTCGACGCCCAAAATGGCTGACCTGTGAAAATCAGACATCATTCGACTCGACATGCCCTGCCGGATGTAAAGAGACCAGTTTTAAAAAAGAATTTTGATTGTAGCCCGTTCGGTTAAAAAGTTATCATGATAAACATACGTGAAAGTTTGGACAAGTGGTGGTGCTAGAGAGTTGGATTTTGAAACTTCATATTTGGTCTGATTAATGTTAAGACTGTCCCCTATCATTGTGCCAAATTATACAACTTTCCTGCATATGCCTATATGGGCTGCATTCAAATCCGGCGTAAGAAGCAGAAGAAGAATAATAATAATAGGAACGCTAACGAAAGCAATCATGCAAATAATGCACCTTAAAACACCCTCTTTTTAGACTGGAGTCTACAAAGTCTACAAAGTGGCGCAAATGGATTTGCCATTTAAAAATTAGCGTTGTGCTGGTCTGAAAATAGCAACAAATCACACCATATACATCTTGCACCTTATTGCGCCGGGTGTATGATAGGGCCGATAAATCTTTTTAGGGAGATTCAGTCTGATTGGAGTAAGAAAAAAATACCATGTGGTTGTTTTATCATGTAGTTTTGAAAGGTTTACTAAATTATGGTATGCAGGCAATCTTTCAGTTCAATAAAAACAGAACTTGCACGTATCATGCTAACATACAAAGTTGCCATGAAAGTGATGAGTGTAAGAGTTTACATCACTTAAGTCAACCTATGAGTTGCTGGTTTTTAGGACTGCCAAATAATAGCAAATGAGCCAAATTGTGTTTTATTTCAAATGTATGAAGTACTGCCATCGGGGAAGTGATAAAACGATCCTTAAATTATAAAATAACCCTTACAAGTCATTTATACCAATATCCTTCAGCATTTTAAATGGTAAACTACCTAAATGCCACTGCTTTTGGTTAATGTTGTGTTGTCTTTTTTTTTTGTTATATGTGGATTGACTCCAAGACAAATGTGCTGCTTGAGTCCAAGAAAAAATCCCTGCAAAGAATAAAGTATAACTGGACTCAAATATATACAGCGGACAAAATTACATTGCTGAAATTGCAGAAAAAATACAACAAATTAACAGAATACTTATATATATATATATATATATATATATATATATATATATATATATATATATATATATATATATATATATATAATAGCATATTTATTTACTTAAATGGATTACTATTAATATTATTTAATATTACAGATGTCAGTGGTAAAAAGCTATCTCAAAGTGCAAGAAGAGGTATTTTAAATTTCGATAATATTTCAGACATTTATTTTACCCTTAATTTAATTACAGAAAAATATGAATTATTAATTAATAATGATTGACAGGCCTAAATAGGCCTTAGCAAAACAACAGAACAAAATCATACATCATTGAAGAGTCTGTCAGCTAACGTGCTTAATAGAATTCAAGGGAAGGAAGTCAATCTGACTCTTCAGCCATAGTTTTTCTCAAAACTTCATCAAACATGTTATTAAAAATATGCCATGAGTCAAAATCACATGCTTTAATTTTCTTATACACAACGATGCACACAAAAGCTGATATAAAAGATCTGGGTCTTACTTTTTACAAAGTCAAATTTAGGCATTTTATAAGCAAATTACAGAAGCATATTCAAACTTTTTTTTCTGCCCATGAAACTTTCATTTTGCAAACAAAAATTCTGCCCATGATAAAAATAATTGACGTACTGTAATATTAATAAATCACTGATCCGTGGAATGATTCTTCTAAAGTAGTGTGTGCAATACAGGACTGCGTTCATGAGCCTGTTTGCAAACAGATTTACTGAAATACTTTCACTTCTCAAAGACAAAATTGATGTTAAGTGATTTTAATCTCTCTTTTTTTGTGAACATACATGGACTTTCTAGTATTCCATGCAGTGGTAAAAACTAGGTAAATTAAAATTACATTATAAATGTACTTCATGCTTATAAAATACCCAGAAGAACAGAAATAAACCAGATATTAGCTATGTTTTAATCCAAAAATGCTAATTAAATGTATGCACATAACTGGAATATTGCATATACGACATGCGAATAAAGCAGCCTTTCCATCCAAGTAGACAAAGAGAAAAAAATTGTCACTTCCTAATTAACTGGTGGCAAATATTAAAATATCAGACACTGAGAACAGCATCAGACGGTGAAAACAGACGCTCTTGACAATTCTAGAGGTAATTTATAATATAATAACACTGATACTGGCATTTTAGAATCACCAAAACAACATTTTAGATGCTTTACAGTGTGCTTATCCTGCTGGTCTGTCCATTAGCACACACACTATCATCACATGATCTCTTGTAACAAAGTCACATTACCTTTTTAATTTAACCTTTTTAAAGTGAAATTTGTTAAAGAAAAGTGTTACCATTATAGTTTATTCTCATCTTTTCTTATCATATAAAAAGTTTATTCTACTCACTTATGTGCATATGTTTTTTTACACGCACTTTCAAAATGCGCATCTTGGGGTTTCCCTCAAAATGTGCATAAAAATAGGCGGATGGAAGTGTAGCTATTGTCACAAGCGTTTATTCTGCAGCAGCAATAGCTGATGTATTCAGTAATCTAGGTGTTGTTCATATGTGAAGGCGCCCTCTATCATCGAGTGTGAATCAACCAAAATAACACTAAAATATGTGATTACAACAATATTTCAGGTCTCATATATTATATTATAGGTCTTTAAATCTGCTCCTGAAAAGTTTATTTCCAATCTGCTTATGTATTTTACATGATCTTGACCCGAGCTTATAAGAACCTTGATTAGCTGTTTCAGTGTGTTTGTTTATGGTTGAGCTCTACTGGATAGTAAGCAGGGCTGAAGACCTGTTACATTTTTTTTTAAATACAAAATTAATAAAATATAACAAAAATATAATTAAAAACAGGAGTTTTTTGTCTCTCAATTTATACTTAAATTATTATATAATATATTACATTGTTAATTGCAATAAATACCAGAAAATATTGTGATATATTTTGAGGTCTATATGAGTTATTAGGATTGGGCTATGTTGTATAATAAATTTCTTATGTGAATAAATTTATGAATAATTAATTACTTTATAATAAATGTATTATTTGTAGCCTACCGTTTCAACTACCTGACCCGCATGGTCTTTGTTTTACCTATAATCAAATCATAAATAAATAAAAATAAGCTACACACAAATTACCACCTGTCAATCCCTTTTTCCATGGGACTCTGGCTTGAATAGACAAAGTGATTTTTGTCTTAATAATGGCGTCAACAAACTTAGTTGTTAAAAATGGTGCACGACCAACAGGAACAAACCAACAGTATCTGAGGTTTTCACTAAAATTACAAAGTGCAAGCGTGACAGCGAAAGATTAAAGCAGTGTACTGACACTGTGACACATTACTTGAAAGATTCAAAAGACAGAAGAGTCGTTAGATAGAGACAAGATTGATCAAATATCACATTTACCAACTTTAGTGAGACACAATCCAGTGGTACATCCTTGATAAACTGTGCGGCAGGCACTGCTCTCTGGGGTTTTGTGTTCAAAGCACCCGCTGTCTGCATAGAGCTCAGGCGTGCGCATATGCTAGAGTGTGTGAGAGCATGTGATGTGTATTTTCAGAGGCATAGAGAGAACGAAGGGCTTTTCAGTAATGCTAGATGAAATGCCAGTGTGGACGTGGATCGTTTTCATTCAAAAATGCCATTTTAATACTAAGACTGGTTAGTGTAAACAGAGCCTAACTGTGTATTTCTAACAAGTGGGTTGCTGTTGCGATGAGGGCGGGACTGCTGGCTCAGCATCGTGATATCTATCAGCCATCCGCATTGGACGATGGTATCGTCTAGCGACCAAACCCTTTGAGGCATTCCTACAGATCACTTTAAAGGCACAAGTGCAGACTTAATGCAAAATCATAATTATTTATTTAAATAATTAATTACTATTACCTATTTGGTGAGACACATTATGATGAAAGGAACAAAATGAGATTTTAAAGCAGCTTTTTTTTTTTTAAACTAAATTCAAATCAAAGCATTTTCAAGGATTTCCAGCACCCAAATACATGCTCTATGCTATCCAGATGGTCACTCTGACCTGCTTTTGCATTTGCAAAATTCACAGATTAAATTGGCCACCTCATGAATGCTCTTCTCATTCATGAGGATACATCCTAAGCTCAAGACCAGACTGTCTAGAGGACAGGTTCCAAGACTTCTTCAGTTTAACCAATCAGACTAATGCAGAGTAAAACACCTTCACTGTTCTCTATAAATCATTCAGCATCTCAGTCTCTCTCCAGAATCCCAAGAATAAAAAAACTTCAGCTGAACAGAAACATTCTTAGCAATACACAAACACCACTCAAAATTCAAAGAAGCTACAAATAGATCTTTCAAGGACACAGTGGGATACATAAACATCCACAAACTCTAAAAGCTACAAGAGTATGCAAACAGAGATCCCAAATGCTACATACATGTATTGTAATTGGAAGCAAAAACAGCCTATCAGCCTTAAATAAATCCTAAACGCAGTTCTCTTCTATTCATATAGTCATTCGCGAGTAAACATACACCTCTCCAAAGCTGCACCGTATTTCTCAAAACACGGAGAAACATCCATATACATCTAAAGCGACCACTTCACAGAAACCATTAAGTCTTACCTGCTTGAACAGATTTAACATAAGCACCAACTGAGTCCCAGTGAGCCTTGAATCCAAAGTCTCTCCCGCTGTTAGGCTTCTGATTCAAGCAGACTCGCATTTCACTTTGACCCACCTGAAAGAGAGAGAGATACAGAGAGAGAATGTGACACCTGAGGATCCCATGACACCTTCTTCCTCGGGAAATCTGCTTCAGTCTGTATAACACAAACCGTTCAGTACATAGAGTTGAAGGCAAAACGATTAGGCCCTCCAGTGAATTATTTTTCAAATAATTCCCAAGTGATGTTTAACAGAGCAAGGACATTTTCACAGCGTTTATCTAGTCTACATTTTTCTACAGGGAAAGTCTTATTTATTTTAGCTTGGCTGGAGTAAAAGCTGTTTTTATTTAATTTAAAATATTTTTTAAGGTAATAATATTATACCCCTTCATATATATATATTTTTTTTTTCAATTGGCAACAGAATAAACTATTAAGCTTAACAGTGTCTTGACATTTCTCTCCATAAAACAGCAATACTTAATATTTTATTGTACATGTAACCAACCAACAACAAAACATTTAAAAATGAATACAACCATTTCTCCGTTTAGACTGATAGACTATGAAATGCGTGATCATATACATCAGTGGTGTGGCATCTACTAGCAAATGGACCTAGCCTGACTCGGGGTCTGCCCATCAAAACAAGGAAATTGTTTTTAATTCATGGCCACAATAAATATAATTTGTGTATGCATGTCTTCTTGTTTCTCTATAACATCTAATTACTCTGGCACGATTTTGTATCTATATGTTGTTTTACAAGCTGTAAATTTTATAATGCTGCATTACGCGCAAACGCTGTTTTTGTGGAACAAAATGAAAACACTGGAGATCAGATGTTAGTGGTTAGCTAACAGCATTAAACGAATGATGAATAAATATAAATATAAACATAAAAGTGTGGTCTTAAAAACAAGAGGAAAAGCAAGTAGCGACACAAAAACTACCCAAAATATACATTTTTGGGGCATCCTAGAGCAAATGCACGAAGCTGTAAATTAAACACCAGGAATATTGTGAATAAATTTGTTGAAGAAAGGCCTGGAGATGCAACTTAATGCAACTAAAATGATTAAGTGGTTTTGTGTTTTTAAATTTTGGGCCAACATTTAGACTTTTTTGTACTAAGTTTCATTCTGGTTGTAAAAATCTTAAGTTGTGTAAATTAAGGCTGCGCGATATTACAAAAAAAAAAAAAAAAAAAAAAAAAAAGATCACAATATCATGTTTCAAATCATTCTACATTGATAATTATTGAATATTTTTTAACAATACTTTTAGAAATGTTCGATTTTTTTACAACTTTATTTTGATTTACTAAGATTACTAAGGCAAATAGTTTTTATAGTCAAATATAAAAATACTTAAAGTAGCTGATCTCTTTATAATAAACATAAGTGTTAAAGAGACTCGCTAACTTGATAAATAATATATTGCAAAGTGTGTGCATTGATAAATAAACATCTGTAGGGTGTCAATAAAAATGATACAATAAACCTCAAACTCTGTTAACAAAACACATTATGATAATCAAATCTGAGCTTTCAAGTAAAGGAACTATCTATCATTTTTCAAATACATGCTAAACATTACAAATTGTGAAGTTTAATGACTATATTACCCCATGTGCTAAAAAAAATCTTTCAGAAAGGGTGCTGGTATCTGAGATGCACAAGAAAAGAAACCAAAAAACCACTCTAACGACATCTATATACATGTATATATATATATCTATATATATATATATCTATATATATCTATATATATATATATATATATATATATATATATTTTTTTTTATTTATTTATTTATTTATTTATTTATTTATTTATTTATTTATTTATTTATTATTATTTACAATCTCCTCCCTGCTGCTATACGGCACTCATTTTTGCGCATGTTGTTATTCTGACCTCAAGTGACAAGTGCAAGCATGTGGTTTCCTTCATCATTTTCTATGGCGTCTCTTGTAACTAGGCGACCATCAACTGTTTTCTCAAGGTGACAAACCATTGCTGTAGCTCCAATGCAAGTTTATGGAGAAAAGTAAAAAGCACTGCAGTCAGTCTGTAATTAGTCTATCCTTTTTACTGAAACGTATTATGTATATATATTTCATATAAAGTGTCAAGGAAATCGCTTAGTTCTACTTGCATGAATCACACCATGTGCGCATCATGCAAGTCGCGATACTCCATTGGAAATGAAAAACTTACACGCTAAGCTCATTGGCATTCCTTTCGCGCACTCTCAGCAGCAACATTTTAATAAAACTATAGCCTATAGAAAATGGTGTTTGGTCAATAAATATTTATACCGATTTTATCACCCAGCCCTAGTGTAAAGTGTTTTTTTTTTTTTATGGTATTACTTGTCTTTTTTTTTTTTATATCCGCTGCCTTTAATAGCTGTTTCTAGCCACCTATTTTTATGCGCATTTTGAAACATTGCATAAAAATGTGTAATGGAAAGACCAATATGCACATACAGTATATTTTGAAAATCTACATACACTTACACATAACTGATAAACTGTATCTGATAAGAAAAAATACACAATATGAAGCGAACACATTTACAGAATAAATTCCAGTATACACATAAAAAAAAAACTATATGATTTTGTCTTGATCGAGTCATAGCAAATATGGGCAGAGCAGGATAGTATTAATATACAATCCAGAAAAACGACCACGTTGCAAAACATTTGAAATGTTGTTTTAGTCATTGTTAAAGCCCTAATGTCTATAAACAAAACTCTGATGAACAATGTTTTTTTTGGGGGGGACATCTCTGCTTTACACCCTGCTTTCAAAAACCTTCGGAATACATTTGTAGAACAGCAAAGGTTAGGAGATAACTACAAAAACATTTATAAAGATTGAAAAAGGTCTTTAGAATGTGATTTGATTGCAGGCTGTATGACAAATCAAGTAATTATTTTAAAAGTGTATGATGATTTTATATAGGCACTGTATCTGTAGTGCATTATTTCATGTTGCATATATCATGTTGTGCTATATTCCGCTTTTGTTGTGTGGTTATAATGTATGTTGCATAAAATAATCATCATGATTTGATTTGACTGGTTTATATCATCAAACAGCCTACCTTTACATCCCTGATTTCTGAGATGGCAGGAGGAGATGTTTGGATGATAGACGTGGTCATGGTCACTTTAGTGGCATAAGAGTTCATTGGAGGTGCTGATGACCTTCCATCTCTGGTCTCTTCCTCTTTAGGGTTGATTGGATGAGTGCTTGAACGAGAGTGGCCCTTGCCAGCAGAGGCTGTGACCTTCCCTTGACCGCCCAGAAAAGAGGGGACGGCTGAATGGTCTCTGTGACCACTGATCAGGCTTTTATGCGAGTCGTCCACCTGTAGAAACACAGGGTGAATCCGAATAAATAAAGTGGCCACTTTTTCTACAAACATTTCAGATTGAAACAGCCATTTCACCCTGCAGCACAAGACTGGTTGCTCACTGAAGCTAGGAAGGGCTGAGCCTGGCTAGTACCTGGATGGGAGAAAACATGGGAAATCTAGTCATGTGTAAAAATTAGGACACCCTATAAAAGCCTTTATATTTGTTTTTTTTTTAATACGGATGTTGAATCTCAATATAACTAAACAATTAAAACTGAAAAAAAAAATATTTTGTTAATCTAATTCTAGAAAAATGCTAATTCTAACCTAGAAAAAAGTTAGGACACCCTACCGCTAAAAGGTTACCCCCTTTGGCTGGCCATCTATTAGTCTCTGACATCAATCTGAGGAAAGTGTAGCCCACTCTTCAATGCAGAATTCTTTTAGCTGTGAGATGTTTGAGGGGTTACTTGCATGTACAGCTTGTTACAAGTCACCCCACAGCATCTAAATGGGATTAAGATCTGAGCTTTGACTTGGCAATTTCTCCATGGTGCAGTTTTGCTTCAGCTTTAATTTTCAGAGAGATGGTCTCACATCTTCCTCTGACACCCTCTGACACACCCTAGAATTCATAGAGCATTCTATGATTGTGAGCTGACCAGGTTACCCCAAACCATAACACTTCCCCCTATGTACTTCACAGTTGGTATGAGGTTCTTTTCCTGGAAAGCTGTCTTTGCTTTACGCCAATCATGTTGTCTGTTGTGGTGTCCAAATAATTCAATTTTAGTCCAAAGAACATTATTCCAGAAGTCCTGGTCTTTGTCAATATTCTCTCTGACAAACTTCAGTTTAGGCTTGATGTTTTTTCTTAGAAAGCAAAGGTTTCAATCCCATGCAAGTTAAACTTGTGCAGTCTCTTTCTGATTGTAGAGGCATGTACTTTCACATTAACATTAGCCAGAGCCTTCAGTAGGTCTGGTGAAGACCTTTGGAGACCTCTTTTAGCAACTTGAGGTCTGCTGTGAGGGTAAACTTGCTGGGACAACCAGGCCTGGGCATGTTGGCAGTTGAAAGCCTTCCACTTGTAGATTATTTAATGGACAGTCGAATGGCTCATTTCAAAATCTTTTGAGATCTCTTTAAATCCCTTACCAGACTCGTAGGATGCAAGTTTTTATTTTTGTAAAGGCCTCGGACAGCTCTTTTGCTCTCACCATTGTGCTCTCTCTCACTTCAACATTCAGGAGCACACCAAAATAAATTTCATAGGTTTAGAAAGGGCAAGCCTCATTCAAAATGCTGCTTAACGATTTATAATAACAAACACCTGTTGTGATTAATCTGTCTGCGATTTGAGCCGTTTTAAGTGTAAATAAATGTCTCACATTTATGCTTCGGTCACACCAGAGTTTGTGCGTGCGAAATTCTGCTGTACAGCACTGCGAAAATGGCTGGGATTAAACATGATGATCAGACAAAAAAAAGAAATTCTAGTCCAGAGAGGTCAGGTTTTGATCTTCAATTGGTCTCACGCAATAATGTGATGCGATTTTGCAGGTCAGAGTTCACCAAGCTTGAACTTTTTGATCCAGCGAACTGAAAAACTTGCCGCATGACCTTTCGTTTCCGGTCTGACACATTCACGTGCGTATGACTGGAAGTCTACAGGGAAAAAAAGTGTAGTGTGACTGCAGCTTTATTGCCATGTCCTAACTTTTTCCTCAGTTAGAATATGCATTTTTGTAGAATTAAATATTAAATTTAAAGAATTTTTTTTGCAGTTTAATTGTTTAGTTATATTACAACAATCTTTCAAATTCAGATTAAATAACCATATAGTAAATAAAACCTTACTAAATACCCATAGAGTCTCCACATTTTTTTCACATGACTGTAGGTTGATGTTGGAATTGGTGTAAGAGAGGCCAGCAGGGGGTGCAAAACCTGTGGTCTGTGGGGGTCCTAATGCCCCAGTATAGTGAAAGGGACACTATACTGTAAATGAGTATTTTGGATGAAACTTTAAAAAGAGGTCCTCACTCTCTATAGTCATTACCCAGTCCAAACTTCCATTCCTTAGTCCATACTCAGCATATCCTCACAATCATCCCCATCCATTGAACTGGCTCTATCACTCTCTCTTTTTTTTCACCTGTTGTCCTGTGGCTGCAGTCACATCATCCAGGTGGAAGCTCCACATGATTGCAAAGTGCTTTGGGTGTATGGCAATACACAATATATTCTGATATATAAAAATGTTCCTTTTTTTCCTGCAGTGAGCTCTGTTTGATATTGAAACTGTTGAGACTTTGATATTGAGAACAGACTGATGCCTTAACTCTTTACTATTAGATTTTTCTGTATTGTATTAAACTTGATATGCAGTATTTACATTTATTTTTACACATATGTTCACACTACGTACGTTTCAGTGCCACTTAACCAACTAGCTATATAGTTACATAAAAAAAGAAGTACTTATTGTGCTCATATTGTATTTAACACTTGTGGTGCTATTGAACAGGGATATGGGTAAGGCTAGAGACATGTGGTATAGATAGGTGTAATGGTGGGTTAAATTGTAAGGGATGGATGGGTCAACAGTGTAATTATAAATAGGTTAGGGTTAAAACTTAATTACAGATGCATCATTTCAATACAAATTATAAAATGTAAAAGCATGTACAGGTACATGCATACATTAAGTGCATTGGAGCAAATAATTAATTTAAAATGTAGCACAGTATTTAAGAAAACATAATATAAAGTGGGACCCAAACTGAAAAAAAATAACTATCTGCATTTAGCGTCATTTCTTTTTTTGTTCATTTTATAAAGAGTATGCATACATTTCCATGTATAAAGCCAACTTCTGATGAAATAACACAACACCACAGTTAAAAATGAAAGAAAGCACTGAAACAAATGCTACATAATTGCTTTTTTACATAACAGCAGCCCAACAGAGCATGTGACCATGCATGGTTGAGAAGCCTATCATGGAAAAGCATGCACGCACGCACACACACACACACAAAACAAAGTCATAGCTTGGGTTTCACGAAGCACCCGGAGTGCAGCGTGGTAGTAGTGGCTTAATTCATTATTCATAAACCAGCCGCTAGATGATCAGGCAATGAGGAGTAACACTAAACTTCACACACGGAACACTGCACAAACTACCATCCGCCCTTATGCCTCCACTGCTTTATCAGAAAGAGAGAGAGAGAGACGCACACATTTGGGTACCAATTAGAAACTAACAATTACTGTAGGTCAGGGCTGAAAAAGTGCCAGCGCACGAAAACAATTTTATATTCACATTAAATCTGTTGTGATTGTTGTGATTATTGTATTATTGTGATTGTTGTACAAAACACTATACAAATAAAATTAAACTGAATTAGGATGTTCTAAAAAACAAGCCGTATGATATTTACCATAATTACAATGTTTTCTAAATTGGTAATTTACCTTAAGGCTGATTAATAGTTTCGTCCAGCACATGATTCAGGGTTGTTTATACTTTTAGAATTTTATGTGAAGTGTCATTTAAGATAAATATTCTGCATAATAATAATAATATAATAATAATAATAATAATAATAATAATAATAATTATTATTATTATTATTATTATTATTATTATTATTATTATTATTATTATTGGTAACACTTTACAAAAACTACACACTATTAATCGTCTGTTAAGCAGTAGCAAATGGTGAATTCATTATCTGTTAAGCATTAACTCTACATTAATAGATGTTAGTAAGCAGTTCAAATGCTGCATTCTTGACTTTTATACCTCTTGACCTTTCTTGACATGTATAATGTGCTTAATGATTGGATTTTCATACTTTATTAATGATTATTTTGTCATTAGGTATCATTATTTACAAACTAGTTATTTAAGAATAGTTGGTGCTATTTTAAGATCATTCAGAATGCATAAGTAAACGATTAATAAACTATTCAAATTAACACTCATCTGTATTATTATTCAGGCATATAATAATAGGTCATTTGTATGTTAATAAATGCTTTAAGTCAACTTTATCAAGTTCTGTGACCTAAAGTGAGGACTACTTATGCTTTATAAATCGCTTATAAATGACTATTAAAGGCTCAGTATTAAATGAACAATAAATACTTAGCAAATAATTATCTATTTGCTAATGCTTAGTAGATGACTCAGTTTGTAGTTATTATAAAGTGTTAACTTATTATTATTGTTATTATTGTTATTATTATTATTATTATTAATATTATTATTATTATCATCATCATCATCATCATCTCAAAGATGTAAAATCTTTAACCAACATATCCATCATTCATTACACCTACACATCCACAATTTGAAAAGCCCTTTCAATCAGTACATCACCCATCAGTACTCACTCATTTACTACCTCTAAAAAGATGGTTAACCATCTTACCAATAGCACCTTAAAATAACATTTTAAAAAATAAATAAATAAAAAATAAAAACAGATAACCCTAAGATTGTTGAATGTTTAAAAATCACAGAGCCGAAACGCATTTACTACACTAGAACTGCAATCCTGACCACTCTCAGCAGTCATAAATGTTTTTAATCTACAAAAAAATATGAAACAAAATTCACTAAAATAGATTAGTCTAATTAATTTTCTTCATTTCCTTTGAATGGATTCATTGAAACTGAACCAGAGTCAAAAAATGTAGTTTGTGTCAAATAGCTTTAACGGATGACACTAGGCATGAGACAATAAACATTTTCAAGGTATACCGCAAGTTTGGAAAGTTAAGGTTTTAAAACGACCAAAATATTTTGCTATACTGTTCCAACTGTAAATTTAAGATTTTTTATTGACTTTTTTTTGTTTGTTTGTTTAGGAAAACAATATCTCCAGCAAATAAAGATGCTGTTTTAAACTGTAAAGAAATCTGTGTTTTTGAAACGAATGAAGACAGCTAAAGTCAACTATTTATTTGAATTATTTAGCCTGACATGTTTACTTTTCCAAAATAAGTTTCCTAAAATCTAATATATTGTGTTCAATGGGGATATTGTTTTTTTACCCAGACATTTAAAAAAAGAAAAGAATATATTTTAGAGCAGTAATCACAATACTGTGAAACCATATTTTTATCCAAGATTATTATACATTAGAATCCTATAGTGGCCCATGCCTAGATGACACTGCAATAAAACCACAGATTTAAGCCACTTAAAATTTATTATTTATAGAATATGAATTACTACCTACTACTAAAAATCCTGAATACTACCCAGGCATCACAGGTGCATTTGTTGAGTTTTTTCTATTCTGAAAGCTTGATGTCAAAGCTAACAAATACAAACAAACCATCAAATAATAACCATTATACAATCATACAAAATGCCACCAAAACTACCAAAATTAAAACTTACTGTTGCTTTTTTATGATAAGTGTTGTGACTTGCGTCCATCTCTATTTAATGTGAATTTAGGTTCAGTTTTAGCATGAAATATGCAGCTTTGTTGAAAAAACTAAACATGTTAAAAACAGAAACAAATATGCACAGTTTGGAGAAAGTGAAGTAGCTCATTAATTATAAATCAAGTGGTAAAACACCACATGTAAAAAAAACTAAATAAAAATTTAGATCACATTAAACATTCAAAACACCTCCACAATGAGAATCCAAATTCATATCAAGATTTGAAATTTGGCCTGACTTTTTTTTTTTTTTTTTAAATGTTGAAGAAGGCAGCAAGGAAGGCTGATTAAGAGCACTTACAGAATAAACTTTGGGCAGGGTAGGCATCTTGGAGGGTTTGGCTCCAAACGGACGTGGTGTGACGCCTGTGGAGAGACGTGAGCAACCCTCTGATCTCCTAAAACCTCTGGGCAGAGTGGCAGACATGCGTGCTCCACCTGCATAAAAGCTCTCCAGGAGACTGGAGCGAAGGCTGAAGTCTGGCCCCTGCTGCTCGTCGCTTTCTGCATCCACGGCGGTCAGGCTGCTCTGAGAAGTCTGCTCAGAGACAACAGCTGACGGATGGCTCGAGAGCACACCAGTGCACTTTTGAGCCGAGTCAGAGGTCTCCACAACAGTGCCTCGAGTCAAAGCAGAAGTCGCCCCATTCGCGAGGCCTGAAGCTGAGGTGGACCACCCGGAACTGCTGACACTGGACCCTGCATCACTCATGGGTCCAGGCATGCTGGAACTGAAAGAAAGAAAAATGGAACAAATGTGTGATCTGATCTGATCCAGGGACAGGAGTTTGAAGACGGGGCAGGAAAGCACATGGCTATTAGTGGACACAAAGGGGAGCAGGGGGAGGAGAGGGAGCTTGGAGGACAGGTGTAACTATCAAATAACTCTATTATCCACAAGCGAACGCGAACTATGGCTTAATCTAAAGCTGTATCACTTGGTTTAACCAACTTTAACATTTTTTTATTGCACTCTGAGAATAGTATTTCTGACACCACTCTAAGCTAATTTTGGAGCTCTTGTTTTGATAATAACCTATGACCAAAAGGTCAACAGTTGCATTGCTTGTTAAAGGGATAAAGCATTAGGTATTATGAGAGATTTTATTGCATGTATTAATTTAGGTTAAATAAATATTATTAAAGATGCATTTAGTAGGTTCAGCGAATATATGAAGAGTTCAGATGCAAAAAAATATTGATTCTTATTTCAATACATCAAGTAGTGTACATTTATGAACTTTATAAACAAACATAAACATGGAATGGAAACAGTGTTTGATTAAATGAATGTGCAACACGCTAGCGCAATTGTCTGATTTATTTTACCAGCCCTAGTTTAACGGTCACAGCTGCAAAAATTTGTCTGCATCTATAATATTTAAATCATTGATTTCCCTTTATGCACAAGCATGTCTCTTATGTAAATTAGGCTCATAAATTGTGTCTCAGTCAAGAAAATTGCACTGTGCAATTTATATCAAGCTACTATTGCATTCGACGGAATGGGCATCAGTTGACTTGGGGAACTTGTCACTTCATAACACAACCAGACTGATTATAATAGGCTCTGCTGGCTTTTGTCACATTGCCTTGCGGTGCTTTTCTCTGTTGTACAGACAGCATTAGGGAATCTGCTATTGTGTGTTTAAGAAACATTTAAGACAAAACAAAAAATATCTCATTTATCATAGCATCTCTAAAAAGGAAACTACACAGAGGCAGTTTTTCAGTAAAATGATATTCTTTCCTTAAAATGAAAGTAAATGTTAACCAACTTTAAGGGAATTTCTACACACAAAAAAAAAAACATTCCTTTTTGTATTTTTGGAAAGTTGTGTATACAGATGAAAACACTTCAGGCTTATTAATGTGAATACAAACAAAACAAAAAAAAGTACTAAGGCATTCCTTTTGACTTAACAAGTGAAACATGTACATGGCATCCCAATGTTCACAAAATTGTGTTTCTAGTTTGCATGAAGGTGATTATAGTGCAGTTTTAAAAGATTGAAAACCATTTTTCAAGAGTTCGTTCTTCATGCAATGACACAATATATCATGATTATTTGTAAAAACTAATTTTAATATTTTTTATTTTCCCTCTAAGCACCCTCATATGGCAAATTCCGTTCACTGAAAAAAAAAAAAAAAAAAACTAAATTTCCATGATCTTAGATGAGCAAGAGGCAGAAAATGTACAGGAAAATATGTCTTATCACATTTGGTCAAGTCATATCTGTTTGCATTTAACTTAAGTGACTGACAAACGAGAACTTTTTTTTTTTTCTAATAAAAAAAACAAACAAACTGAAATATAGCATATATATATATATATATATATATATATATATATATATATATATGTATATATATATATAGATATGTATATACACACACACATACAGACACACACACACACACACACACACACACACACACACACCACACATTTTGATAAATGAAATGGCCTCCAATCCTTTTTTTTTTTTGTTTGTTTCAATTTATATAGACAGTGTCACAACAGTTCTGGTTGGTTCTCGAATCTGAATGGCTGATTGCAGTGCAATATTCTGCAATATTAGCACCTGCAATATCCTGCCTGCAGCCTCCTCACCCTTCTGTTTTAATCTGCTCACAGTGACCACAGATCAATAAACTCACTACAGTTTAACAAATATTGCAGCTGTTAGACAGCAATGTACTTTTTGAGTTTTTTTTTTTTTTTTTTTTTAAGAGAGTATGTAGTTGTTTAGATTGCAACTATACAGTTTATTTATAAGGATAGTGCCCATTTTAAATATTTATAATTTTGGAGATACAGCGCCATAGTAATTGTAGTGTCTTACTTTTTGGTTGGCTATCTGTTTGTTTTTAATGAGTCTCTTGTTTTTGTTACGGCAGACTAGTTTAGTAAACAGAAAGAAAGAAGAAATTACTGCATGTATTTAGCATTTTTCCTTATGCCAAACACATCATTAATCTGGTAGTGTTTACCCTACTTTAGCTTTTTTCATTGATAATTATTGTGATCTCCTGATTGCAACAGAGAAATACTGGGAAATCTCTGTAGACTGATGACATTTCATGCCGTTCAGCCTTATAAGCTTAAAATATGAGCAAATTCACACGTTTTGTCATCACTTCAGACGATATGCTAGACAATAATTCAAACACAAGCTGTAAAGTGACACTGGTGAATTAATAACAGTTTCTGCTGTTCTGACCACAGCTGCAGATGTGAATGAATGGTGGAAGAAAGTAGTTCCTCATACAAAAGTGTTTTTTGACTCGGTGTTTGATTTTCTTTTTTTTTTAATGATTATGCTGTCAAACTGTTGTATAAAATAAATATTGCTCACATATACAGTTGAAGTCAGAATGATTAGCCCCCCTGAATTATTACACCCCTTGTATATTTTTAGTTTAACAGAGAGAAGATTCTGAACACATTTCTAAACATAATAGTTTTAATAACTCAAATTTATTATTCGATTTATTGTATCTTTGCCATGATGACAGCAAATTATACTTGACTAGATATTTTTCAAGACACTTCTATACAGCTTAAAGTTTCATTTAAAGACTTAACTAGGTTAATTGTGTTAACTACGCAGGTTAGGGTAATTAACAAAGTTATTGAATAACAATGGTTGCGAACTTGCGAGTTAAACACAGAGGTATTTACAATATGTACCTCTCCTCTGGCACTCCAGTTAGGTGTGCAGTCCTGATGCCGCTGGCTCCTCCTGCAGTGGTGATGAGTTCAATCTGCTCTCTCTCCTCAAGCTTTTTGTGCAGGTCTGAGTTTGCGCTCCGCCGACGGCTCTTCCACCTGCTCAGATCCTGCAGTGACAGAGGTGAAAATTGAGTGACAAATAAGAAGGTAAAAAAAACACAGGGGAAAAAAAAAAAAAAATTGTCAGAAAATAACATCAGTGTCATGTGTGAATGATCTAAAAGAGAAAAAAAAAAGACTCCAAAGAGAGTTTTCCCATTATGTGGTGCACTAAGGACCCCTACAAACCACTATACCAGCAGCAGAGTGATAAAATAAAGATGTTTAAGCAAATCAATAATTACTATTTTTATAATTATTATTGGATTTTTGATTTTACTTTAACACCTGTTAATCTTTACATTTGAAATGGTCTATTATCTGACCATCTGTTTAAAATATATATATATATATATATATATATATATAATTATAAAAACAATTAGGAGTCAATGACATTTAAATAACACATTTATTTTGTACCACTGTAGATGAGGTCATGAAAAATACTTATGAGGCTGTTTTAAAATTATTTGATAAACTAGTAAGAGGTTAGTTGGGAAAAGGCGGCATACTAGAGAACAGCTCTGTACACCTACCATTAATTAGATTATTTTGTAAATCCATTTTGCACGTTAACCAAAATCAAATAGACAATCCGTTACTGACTTAAATGGCAAGATGTCAAAGCAACCAATTTGAGGGGTTCAAAGCAGCCTTAAAATGACAATCGCCGAAGTCAATGATACTGTCATCAGAGTCAAGTAATAGAGAGTATAACATTGAAAAAACGACATTTATAATGGCCTCATGACAGCTAAAGCCAAACACATGACAGTTAAATGTAACATTAGGCCATAAAGCCAAGTAGTTTCTTCTAAATATGATCTTCTACATCATATTTAGGATAGATTTGACAAGTTATATTGTCATGATAATACCAAGATGTCATGTCAAAAACACACAATTTTTGATATCAAACACTTGTGTATATGTTTGTCAAGTAGTCAAACAATGCCATCTTTGCACTTTAAAATACAACAAAATAAATTACATTTACTTGCAATTTGTATTATGAATTGTTTATTTGCTTCAATCTCACAGAGCCAGTATTTGTTGATTTGTACTGTATGAATCAAGAACCATAGTTTCAGGTAAAATAAAGCTTAGCAACACATACTGGATGTAAAAAATTATTTTTTTTTCCAAATATAATTTTTAACCAAATAATTAACCAAATTTCTCTTGTCTTTTAAAGGTTAAAAAATATATTTCCACTCTTGTAAACCAGAAAAACTATAACACACACTCACCGCTTTATATTTTTTATAGTTATACATTGCGGCTTAATTCCTAAAATTCTTCAAAACATTTTTTACTTTTTTATTTTTTCAGAAGACAAACAAACATGAACATACAGTATAAGTTTGTGACCACATAAGGCAAAAGTATTTGTTGACTAAGTATATTTATAGTGATTACCATCTGTGTTCAGTATTGTGATGTACAACATTTTTCCAAAAACCATCACTCACTTCATGCCACTTGGCTTCATTTTCCTTCATTCTCTGTCGGATGTGCTGCAACTGCTCGTATTGAACCCTCTGTAAGGCTGAGGGATCGAGGCTCAGCTCTTCGTCAGACCTCTGGTGAACATGAAGAGGCCCCAAAGAGTCAAAGCTGGAGCTGTTATCAGATTCCTGTGGTATGGGCTCCAATGTGATGTCACCCATGGACTTGCTTCTGTTAGATGGAGAAAAGCAAGGTCTTGTAAATGCTCATCCTTATTCAAGTAAAAAAAGGTAGGAACCTTTCTAAGGTTTGCTTCTATTTACAAAACAATCCTTGTGTTGCAGTGACATCTACAGGTTAAATAAGACATGATACTGTACCTAGAGTCTGCAAGTGCTGCATTATAAACTGCCATTAGCAGCATGAAGGAAATAAGAGAGATAAATAGCACGCAAACATATGACAATGGAAATAATTAAGAGGACACTTGAAAATGTTTAGTTTCTCTGGATTCATGGTGAAAAGTTAGGATATTTCTTTTAATTTTAATATAAATTGTGTCATTTAGAGAATTTTTTTATCATTACATGTGTTTTCAGACATGTTATTTATTAATTTAATTTTAGATAACATAATATCAGAAAGATCCGACCCTTCTTATCTGAACATGCAGCTCAACTCCTTGTTCAAGCTCTTGTTTTCTCCAAACTGGATTACTGCAACTCTCTACTAGCCGGGCTTCCAGCTAACTCTATCAAGCCTCTTCAGCTGCTCCAGAACGCAGCAGCACGAGTGGTCTTTAATGAACCTAAAAAAGCACATGTCACTCCGCTGCCCATCCGTTTGCACTGGCTGCCAGTTGCTGCTCGCATCAAATTCAAAGCTCTGATGTTTGCCTACAAAGCGACTTCTGGCTTTGCTCCTTCTTATCTGCTCTCACTTCTGCAGATCTATGTGCCCTCCAGAAACTTGTGTTCTGTGAATGAACGTCGCCTCGTGGTTCAATCCCAAAGAGGGAAGAAATCACTTTCCCAAACGCTTGCTTTCAATCTGCCCAGTTGGTGGAATGAACTCCCTAACTGCAACAGAACGGCAGAGTCACTCGCTGTTTTCAAGAAACGACTAAAAACTCATCTGTTTAGTCTCCACTTCACTTCCTATCGGCTATTGCCTCTCTAAATATACCACTAACTGTACTCAAAAAAAAAAAAAAAAAAAAAAAGACTAATACTTTCCTTCTTAGACTTTACAGACCTGAAACTTGCCTTTAGCACTTATTCATTGTTGCTCTTATAGTTGTGTAAATTGCTTCCTTGTCCTCATTTGTAAGTCGCTTTGGATAAAAGCATCTGCTAAATGACTAAATGTAAATGTAAAATCAATGCTTTAACTGATGTATAAATCATAAACAACCCTGAATTTTAATCACAACAAATGAAAACATGTCTGAAATTTGGAAGAAAATATCCGGCTTTTGTAGAATAAAACTATAACATTTTACTCTAGCTCATACCCAATTTAAAAATACAATATACAAGAAGATTTTTATAAAGGAAAAATGTGAATTTTCAAGTGGTCTTAATTTTTCCCCATAGTTCATTTCAAATATACAGCAGCACTCCCATTCGCTTAAATTCAGCTAACAAATATGAATGGTAAATGCATTAATGTGACATGGATAATTCAAAGCTTATTTGCAGGAGACATCACTAGCAAGTATTACATACCTTGAAGCATGTTGTGTATTGATCAATTTTGTAGCTTAAGCAAACTAAATAAAAGCTCAAACTCATAAATATCACAGACTGCAAAATAAAGTCATGCAAAAGGAGTCAAGCGACTTTCAGCGCAAGATGACCATGGACACCACCGAAAAATAAATAAATAATAAATACAACAAGCACAAATGCAGCAGAAGAAGAAACAACAACAACAACAACAACAACAACAACAACAACAACAACTCACCCTGTGTACCGAGAGCGTCTCATGCCATATCTGGGAAATAATTAAATATTTTATTGTAAAATTCTCTATGGAATTTCCCCCATACCACAAAAAGGAACGGCCAACAAATTAGTTAATTTACCCACCATCATGTTGATCAAACTTACCACCTCTCGTGAAAAATCTACAACTTACTCTTTTCCACAGGTCAATGACTAGAGAAAAGCTTTAATTTCATATTAGGGTGAACCATAACATGAAATCAAAGTATATCTCATACAGAAGAAGAGCTACAAAAACTAAAATATTGTTAAATTAAAATAACTGTAAAATAAAATCTATTCAAATATAATAAAATTAAAAAGCAACCAATATAAAAGTAATGCAAACAAATAAATTAAAACAAAAGACAAGCATACAAAAGTATAAAATCCACACAAATCGTGTGTTACTGCCCCGGTATTTTTATTAAGACACTTCAAGTTGACTTAATTTGACATTACATTACACACTTCAATAAAACAGAAAGCAATCACAAACATTAAAATGTACGAAAAACACCAAAGGATCAGTTAAAAATATATGCAGTATATACTGCCATTTTACATATAATAATGACAACAGTAAACACACTGTTTAAATCATTTTCTCTTAAAGGTAATCTAAAAGGAAGCACCTTGTGTGTGATGTTTGGCATCTTTTATTTAAAAACAATATATTTTGCAGATATTTAAAAAAAATGCAAACTGAACACTTGTTTATCTGAAAAACAATGCTAAAGTCAAATATTCTGCTTTGAAAATGTTTTACGTGCCAGAATGCTGCCCAATGGCAGTTTAGCCAATTATATTTCAGCATCCCTGGTTGCCTTGGTGAAAAACAAAGCTCTCAAAGCACGCATCCGTGACTGAAACGTGACCACCGTTGGACAGCAGCAGACTTTGAAATGAGAGATTAGCAAATTATATAAATATTACGAACATAAACATTAGGTGAGCAGGTTACATTGTAACCGTGTGTCCTAACAACACACTACATGACGAGATTTGCAGTGATGAGCAATTTGGCTGTTTTCACCACACAGATTTACAATGTATTTAATACATATTAACCCTCTTTAACATTATTAATTGTACATGCTTAATCACTCGTGTGTTAAATTCTAAAGTTCAACTTGTAAACTATCTGCTGCTGCTTTCAGTAGTATGGCAATACATGTCATGTAAAATGGCATTCAAACTCACATTATTAGTTATAACACTGAATAAAGCACATGAGGTTTACCTGAGGTGATAATTCTGTTTTCTGTTGTTCATCTGTGAGAAATAGAAGCGATTTCTAATATATCGATTTGAGGTGTTGGTTAGAACAAAAACTCCTTTTAATAAAGAAAATATTCCTATTATCGGGTGCCGTTGCTTTTATTTAGAGCATGGTTTAAATCACTTGCTCCTGTCCTCAATCTGGCAACCTGTGCTTGAGTTTGTTTTGAACCAGGAGTGCAATACCTAATTCAATCACTGGGTGTCAAACTTACATACTGCACCTTTAATTTAAAACTTAAGCAACAGAAAAACAATAATTATAGGGTTTTGAAATACTGGACAAATGCAGTCTCAGAGGCCATTTTTACAGACTAACAGTGCAAAAAATAAAATCATCTCAAGATTGCCACAACTGCTACATTAGGCTTAAAGGGACAGTTCATCCAAAATAACAAAAAAAAAAATAAAAAAATAAAAAAATAAATAAATAAATAAAATTTAAAAAAATGGATCAAAAGCATTTTGGGTTCATTTATTCTAATCAAACATTTTTTGTTCATTATTTTTTGTTGTTGTTGTTTTTATAATGTCAGAAACGGTTAATCACTGAGATCCAAAGTAAAAAAAATAATAATAATAAAAAAATAAAAGAAACACTACGAAAGATAATTGCAGACAATTTCTGTCATTTTTTGTGTTCAGCAGAAGACAGAAACTCAAAAAGGATTGGAAAAGGTGGAGGAATAAAAAATGACGAATGTGTAATGTTTTTTTTAGATGAACTACTCCTTTAAATAAAGCTCAATTAAAACATAAGCAAAAGGATTGGAGCAAACACACAGTATCTGTTACAGTATATACTCTATTTGCTCTATAACTAAATATGAAAAGCTTTAATGTATTTTCATAATGTTATCGGTTTTGTTTTGTTTTTATTTAATATAGCAATACTCCTCTCCAAATATATACCGCTTCAGTTGATTATTCAACACAACTACACATAAAAATTGGAAAAGGAAGAATGTTTCAAAAGGTTTGAGAGGATTTGTGATCAGGAGAAAGCTTTGGAGCGGTTGCACCAAGCCAAGGTGTCACGTCAAAATCACAGTCATCTTCAGAGGAACCAGACTGCTTTCGGCTATGGAGGATGGAGAGAGAGAGAAAAAATAGCAGAAAACAAAAACAGAGCAAGAAGGTGAAAAGACAGAAAGAATTTAAATAGACAAGAAAAAAAAGGATCTATGTAAAATAATTAAATTCTCAATAAAACCAAAATCAATAATATTGATTTTTTTTTTCTGACTACAATTATTACATAGTTCTTAATTTTTATTTTTTTTAAACGGAAAACTAATAAAAAAAACTTTAATACTGATGTCATCAAAATTTAAAGAACATTTTTTTTCTCAAAAAAAAATATATATACTTCTTAGCTACTAAATATTTGTGTGTGTTCTTACAATTGTGGAACAGTGGTTTTATGGGGGTTAATGGCACAGGTTCCAATCATCGTCAGTGTAGTGCAAACGTGTAATGTGTAGTTAAAATTTTTGAGAATTGCGCAAGTATGGGACCACACGAAGGCTGCACCTGACAATTCCTCAACTATTTGAAGCAGAAGTATAAATCAGAATGGGGTCACATGCCTCCATATGCGGTAGGGAAAGTAATGAAAAAATTTACTTGGAAATATTTAATCGAGTAAAGGTTCTAAATGTCGATTTCGATTCTTTTTCGATTAATCGCCCAGCGAACTTCAACATATGAGCTTGTGAACTTCTATGAAAGAGGGGCTTTATTTTTTATTCCTATCACATGGTTCAAATATGGGGGAAAAAAAAACAATAAAATAGACAGACAAACCTTAAACCTTGCATTTTCTTATACCATGGTCTGCGCTGTGACCCTAGTCTGATCTTTCTCACGTGTAGGTCTTCCTCAGGGGTCCAGAATTTGGGCAGGAACTTATCTGAATTTGCATTGATGGAGGTCTGATGCTCAGAGACAAGCACTCGACGTGCATACAGATCATCAAGCACAGGATCAGCGTATCCTCTGTCCTCATCAGAGTCACTCGTGCCATTACTCAGGACTCGCTGAAGAAACTCTTCCTCCAAATTAGCTGAATCAGAGTCTGTCCTTCCATTTTCAGAGGGAATAGATGACAAACTGCTTCCCAAGAAAGAGCCATCCGTATAAGACCAGTGCAAAAAATGACTCAAAGAAACACATGCATTGACATGCATGCAAAAACAGTTAAGTTTCTTTTTTTTAGATTTAGTGTTAGTGAAATCCACAGCAACTTCACACCACAATTAGTTCTGGTAATGAGATGAATGAACAGCAAACTGTTGTTGTCATTATGCTGAATTTTGTAACTTTGATATGAAAATGTATATATTGCATTTGATAGCATTTTCACTACTACTGGTATATTGCCAGAGCATTATTAAAATTACAACAGGTATGCATGTTTACTTGCTCATTAGAAAATTTTAAAACCTAAATTTCACTTTAACTTGATCTGTTAAAACTTAAATAAAAAATTAATAAAGGAGTACACATATATTTGAACTACTGCATTAAAGAAAAACTACAGGCGTCACTTATTTTCATTATTAAACAATTTATTTAACACTGGGATGTTTTATTATATTGTTACATTATAACATTGTTTAATCAAATTTGTTGTATATACAAAATATAGATATTGACTGAAATGTTTAAAGTGCACAGCAATTTTATTTTAGATAAGTTTTAAAAAAAATTTCATTCAGTTGTATGGTTTCATTTTTGTATAATTGAAATGAATACTTTTGTTCTGAATCGCGTTCACTTCCTTTTTCTTTTTAGAATTTAACTGAGCCTTGAATTGTCAATATTAAAGGTGCAGTATGCAAGTATGACACCCAGTGGATAAACTATGTATTGCACTCCTGGTTCAAAACACTCACAAGCAAAGGTTGTCAGATTGCCGATACCAACAGGAGTGTGCCTGACTGTAGAGCCTGAAAGGTTACTTAAACTGTGTTGAGAGTAAAAGCAATGTTACGCAATAAAGTGAGTATTTTCTATATTAAAACGAGCCTGAATTTTAATATTTTACAAATCCTCTCTTTCTTGCAGTTGAACAACAGAAAACAGATAATGATTGTCTCAGATACACCTCATGTGGTTTATTCAGTGTTAAATGCTAATAATGTGAGTTTGAATGCCATTTTACATGACATTTATTGCCATACTACTGAAAGCAGCAGCAGATAGTTCACCATTAATGCAAATCTCATCATGTAGCATGTTGTTAGGACACAGAATAGGACAACGTAACCTGCTCACCAAATGTTTATGTTCGTAACAGTTATATTATTTGCTTTTAACCACTTCAAGTGGAACTGCATTTTATTGCGAAGTCTGCTACTTTCACCACAGGTCGCATTTTAGTCACAGACGCACGCTTTGAGAGCCTTCCTGACTGAATGAATGAATGAAATGTATGGTTTTCCACCAAGGCAACCCAGAGTGCCAAAGTATAATTGGCTAAACTGGTATTGGGTGGGTTAAAGAACCAAAACAAAGACAGACGTTCTGGCATGTAACGCACATTTGCAAAGCAGAATATCTGACTTCAGCGTTGTTTTTTCAGATAAACAAGAATGTTTACTTCACTAAATATCTGCAAACATATAATGGTATTTTTAAATTTTAGAAAAGTCCAAACCTTACAGCATTTTTAAAAGGAATTTCAAAGTTTAATATTCCCCAGTTCAGATTTGGTCACTTAAATATAGGACTGTTTGCTAATAAAGAACTTATTAAAATACAGAGGAATTCATTTGAATTTTGAATTAATTTGAATTTAAAAAAACGTAAAATTGACAGCTAAATAACTGGTTTGTAAATTAAGCAATACTTAATTTAGCTAAAATGAATCATTAGCAAAGTATGAAAATCATTAAACCCATTATACTGTATAGTGCATGTGCTTATAGAGTAAGTCAAGAAAACATCTGTATTCATTTATAGCTGTATTCATGCCAACTAATCTCTTTTAACGTTGAGTTAAAGTTTTCATTATTAACATTGAGTTGTAAACTTTCTGCTAAACTGAAAGATCACATAGAGAATGCAGCCTTAGTGGTGGGACAGACCAGACTGTGGTGGGCCACAACATTGTAAGTAATTCAACCAGCCTGATAAAAAAGTATGGTATGAAGTACCACAGAAAAACGATACTGCATCATTTAAAATATTTCAGTATTGGTTTGTATGAAAAATTCCTATGACAACAATAAAGCAAATTAGTGAAGACTCAAACCACACCAAGCAATAACTCTTCCAAATGCATTCCACAAAAGCAGAATAACAGTTTGGAAAAACTAAGTAGTTCTTGCAAATGAATGCAGTTAATTAGCCACAATAAATACTTATGATGTTAGGAGCAGTTGGATGTACTCGAGCACAAATATTAGGGCACCACAGTAGCCTCCGTCTATATACAAAACACTCACTAAGTTCTGACCTCTGGTTCGATCGTGTGGCATCTGACAAGGTGAGCCATGACTTCCCAGCATTTGGGGTCACATAAGCGGTCACCCTGGGGCCCTGAGGCTTTGAAGGGATTGCAAAGTTCACTGGAGCCGCAGAGGTTACGGAGCGAAATCTGCGACTTGCTAGATCGTCCTGCTCAGGGTCTGCTTCAGGCCGGTCTGAGTCAGAGTCACTGTCACTCTGGTAACTGCTTGCCCATTGGAGGAAGGCAGAGGCAGGAGGGAGGTCATGGCATAAGCCATGCCCACTTTCACTATGGCCAAAAGATGAGGCAGATAAGCTGGGAAAACCACCTCAATTAAAACTCAACAGATTTGTTACATCTTAGCAATCATTTCAGGAAAAGACAATTCCACATGCACAATATATATTCTCGAAATATAACCTGAATAATAAACCACTAAATCCAAAAAGCTACAGTATGTACGTTTAATGAAATACAACACTTTCATCAGTCATATTATTATTAATAATAATAATAATAATAAAGAATAGGTTGGCATTTTCTTGAATGCCACAAATATACAAGCTAAACTACATAAATAGTGAACAGGGCATGATAATAAATAAACATACATCATAGTAAAATATATGTTTAATACAGTGCATAAGGATAGTATTCATAGCACTTCACTTTTTCCGCACATTATATTACAGCCTTATTCCAAAATGGATTAAATTTATTTATTTCCTCAATTCAACACACAATGAGAAGATATTTTATTGAAATTGTTGCAAATGTATTACAAATTTAAAAAACTGAAAATCACATGTACATAAATATTCACAGTCTTTGCTCAATACTTTGCTGATGCACCTTTAGCATAAATAACAGTCTCAAGTCTTTTTGAATATGATGCCACAAGCTTGGCACACCTGTCTTTGGGAATTTTTGCCCATTTCTCTTTGCAGTACCTCTCAAGCTCTATCAGGTTGGATAGGAAGTGATGGTGCACAGTCATTTTCAGATCTCAATAGAGATGTTCAATAGGATTTAGGTCTGGGCTCTGGCTGGGCCACTCAAGGACATTGACAGTTGTTGTGAAGCAACTCCATTGATATTTTGGCAGTGTGCTTTGTGTAATTGTCCAGCTGGAAGATGAACCGTCGCCCCAGTCTGAGGTCAAGAGCCCTCAAGCAGGTTTTCATTCAGGATGTCTCTGTACATTGCTGCATTCATCTCTCCCTCTATCCTGACTAGTTTTCCAATTCTTGCTGCTGAAAAACATTCTCGCAGCATGATGCTGCCACCACCATGCTTCACTGTAGGAATGATATTAGCCTGGTGATGAGCGGTGCCTGGTTTTCTCCAAACGTAACACCTAGCAGTCATTCCAAAGAGTTCAATTGTAGTCTCATCAGACCAGAGAATTGACAGATTGCACAGATGGTTGATCTTCTGTAAGGTTCTCGTCTCTCCACAGAAGAACGCTGGAGCTCAGACAGAGTGATCATCTGGCTATTGATCACCTCCCTGATTAAGGCCCTTCTCCCCTGATTACTCAGCTTAGATAGCCGGCCGGCTTAAGGAAGAGTCCTAGTGGTTCCAAACATCTTCCACTTAACATCTTCCAATTTGTTCTTTAACTTTCCCCAGCCTTATGCCTCAAGACAATTCTGTCTTGGAGGTCAACAGACAATTCCTTTGTCTTCATGCTGGTTTGTGCTTTGACATGCAGTGTCAACCCTGGGACCTTATCTAGACAGGTGTAAGCCTTTTAAAATCATGTCTAATCAACTGAATTTACCACAGGTGAACTCCATTTAAGCTGCAGAAACATCTCAAGAATGATCAGTGGAAACAATGTACCTGAGCTCAATTCAGAGTTTCACAGCAAAGGCAAAAATGGCAAAATCAAAATTGTGATATTTCAGTTTTTTTTTTTTTTTTTTTTTTTATAAATTTGCAACAATTTCAAAATATTTTTTTCCACATTGTCATTATTGGGTATTGTGTGTAGAATTTTGAGGAAATAAATTTTATTCATTTTTGAATAAAGATGTAACATAAAAAAAAAAAAAAGTGGAAAAAGTGAAGCGCTATGAATACTTTCCGGATGCACTGTTTGTGTGAATAAGGTGGTGGTTGTGTTATATGTGGCTGTATAATTATGAAATATGAGTAATTCTAAATGTTACATTGTAAAACTATAAATGTTAAATTATAAAATTTTCAAGAGTCAAAACAGCACTGTACATTCCCCTCTTCTTAATTCTTTGTTCTACTTTCACTCTCTGTCAATTAAACGTCTGATGCCTGCACTAGACCAAACCACACCCCTGCACCAAAAAACATGCGTATATGCATTAGATATTATTTTACTTTTTTTATATTTTGTAACATGTCCCGTTTTAGGTTTGATTAGATAAATTTGGTTCATTGTGTGTTCACATTTCAGTTGAACAACACAATAAGTTTGTCTTGATATGCTTTCACAAACTATTCAATGTTTGCTTACACTTTAACTCAAATTAACCACACTAACAAACCAATTACATTTGCATTCATTTTAATCTAACCAAACTTCCCAAATGTGAACCCTAGCTATTGCAAACACACCCTTGATTTCCAGCTAGACAGTTAAAAGCTTTGAAAGGTTGTCATCCAACATTTTTAAGCAGAGTCAGTTTCTGTAGCGAAAAGAGCAAAAAATAAAATAAAAGAAATAAAAAAATGAGAAATACCTGGTTAGGTGGCCTGCATAACTCCTGCTTCCCTGCTGGTAATCCTGCCTTTTCTTCCTCAGGACAGCCGGCACATGTGCCTTCTCTCTGATGGGGGCACCACTTTTACTGCTTTCTGCCATCCTGAAGAAATGCTCTGCTTCTGCGTCACTACAGCAACCTGGAACCGGAGTTCAATAAAATGCATAAACCATCAACAGTCAAGTTGGCTAATTTGTATTACTAATGCAAGTAAAAAAAATAAATACATAAATGAAAATAAACTTATTTAATAAATAAAAATAAATAAAATAAATATAAATAAGTTAATAATAGATAAACAAATATATAAATAAATAAAATTATATATATATATATATATATATATATATATATATATATATATATATATATATATATATATATATATATGTGTGTGTGTGTGTGTGTGTGTGTGTGTGTGTGTGTGTGTGTGTGTGTGTGTGTGTGTGTACATAAAATAATAACTATGTTTTTTATAACTAAAAAATAAACACTATGTTAGGGCTCAATTATCTCTTAACAAACTATTAACTATAACATTTGACTCGAACTAGTAATTCGCTGCATATCAATAGTACATAATGTGGTGGTTTAGACTTCAGGAAGTAGAATATTATCATACATATTAACATTTTATACATGGAAATAAAAAAGGACAATGTTAACAATTGGCTTGCTAATTAGCAACAAGTTAATACTGAGAATTGTTCCTTATATTCAAGTGTTTTCAAACTTTCTCAAAAAATTATAGAATTATAAAGATATTTTAGATATAGAATAGATAAAGTGTTTTGACAGGTAGCCATTTTTAAATGCTCTCACAGTTTGTCTAAAGCAATGTTTTCAGGGTCACCAAAGATTTACAAGGATTTTTGATGGCTAGAAGTAGAGATAAAGCAGATACCAATATGCTGGTAAGCCAAAGTCAAGATGATTATATTATTTCTAAGAACCAATGATAGCTTATTTATAGCAACTCAAAAAACCAACAACAACAACAACAATAAAAAGTCTACCATCACTAAGCAAAGTTAACAACAGTCTTGTACAGGCACAGTTTGCAATGAAGATTAGTTTTGTGAAACATCCAAACCTACATTTTTACTCATACCGTCTGCCATTTTGGATCAAATTGAGTTTTAGGCAACAAACACATTTTTTTATTCTTTAATGCTATGTTTTGATTGTTTGTGGAGGGCATGAGGAGTCATTTAGGAGTCATTTGAATATTAAAATACAAGTATCCTGGCAAAAAAGGAAACTGCTGGTTTAAAGTAATTATATGTGAATGGCAAAATGCAATGCTTGATCAAAACATGAATGAATTTGTCAGAAACAGAGAAAATATCTCTTTGACAGGCCCACATGCTAGTGCAAACACTACAAAAGAAAGACTTAAACAATAAATAAAAACAGACTAAGTTTGCCTGCTAATTTTTCTGAATGTTTAGTAAGTGCTAGTTAGAGAATGTCTTAGTCCTTCACATGAACTCTAACTTTGGATAACTGGATATTTGGCCTGACCAAGCATCTGTTCATGTTAATAAGGAATAATTATTTATCAAAGCAGCTTTGCGAACTCTTTAATACAGTAACAAAGTTTTGATACTCAGGAATTCATTTACAGTAAATCATAGACTCAGTTCAAGTTAGTAGCTTAAAAAACAACTGCTATTCAAATGATTATATCCTAAAAACAATCAAAACGTACGTCTGTCAATACTAGAGCTGTCAATCACTTGATTTAAATGTGAGTTCTGTTCTCTTCCTAAAGTTCCCATTATATTCACTAAAAACCTGTACACTAATAAATCTGAAATGAACATTCAGTCTAGATTTTGCTGGTTGCGATGAGGTGATCTGCAAGACTGAACTTGAACAAAACTCAACAAAAAAAAACAAATAAGAGGCCACTGCATCCAGGCATTCAACAATTACTACACAGCTCACTGCAACAAAACATGAAAATAAATCTCTGACAGAGTGAGACCAAATAGTGATTCATACTTTGATTCATGACTTTATACATGGGGTTAAACAGTTAAGGCACATTTATGACTGGTATAAAAAGTATTACATGCACAAAGTGGCTAGAAATACATTGCTGTTTGTTTAAACCCAAAAAACAAGGAGTAAAATAGAGCTCTCTCTGTTTTTTTTTTCTTTCTCTCTTACCAACATATTTACTAATTTAAGGTTTTAGATAATATAAGCAATGAGTAAAAAAAAGAAAATAAATACAGTGATCCCTTTTATTTATTTTGTTTGTCTTTTGTGTCAATATATGTATTTTTCAATTTATGCATGCTCACTTCATTTAACTCCAAGTTCTACTGCTTTAACCTCAGTCTATTGATATATATCCTTTATCTTTATTTTTACTGACAACTTATTTAAATAACATTGTGGAAATCTTGACTTATGTTGTGCACAACACTTGTAATGTGCCAGTATATACATACCTACTTTCACACACACAAAAAAAAAAGTTAAATATCCCATTATTTTTGCTGGTGTTCTGAAATTACCATTAAGAGTTATTAAAATGCATGAACTATAATTTTTAGTAACATTACAACCCAGAGACAGTAGACAGCCTTTTACAATATCACAGCAGACCCTCTGTTGGCACACACTTGTATTCCGTTGGCAGAGGGTTGAACATTACCGAATGGGTGTGGAATAATCTGGAATGTCACACGTATGTGAATGGATGAGGTGAATAAACAAGGGTCTGTACTTTCATTACCGAGTGTTTGAGAGATGCAATATTGAAGTTGCCAAATAAACAAGACACTAATTTTGGTGATGGCAACCAAATGGACCAACATGTGCTGAAATGCGGAAAATAAAACCATCACAACACCCCAGTTTTTATGGTTCAGTCTTTACATGCAAGATATGCATACATATGCAACAGTTTGTCAAGATAACATTTCTATTTACACCTGGAATTTTTAGATATGTACATAGAAAAAAAAAAAAAACATATATATATATATATATATAATGATCACAGTTAAATTTAAAATGTAAGCTACTGAGTTGAGACAGTGTTTAAACAGTGTTTAAAATTTAATTGATGGCCCAGTCATATTGAAAGACTCCACATAAATTTCATTTGATCTTATTAAAATCTTATTAAAAATATTTTAATAATCAGATCCAAAATCATCTAGCATGAATGCATAGTGTAATGCTGTGTGTTTAATATGCTCATGTTTGTTAATTTATTTGGCCACACTTTACAATAAGGTTCATACAATCGGTGTTGGGGAAAGTTACTTGAGAAAGTAATGCATTGCAATATTGAGTTACTCCCTAAAGAAATATCTAGTTGCATTACTTTTTATGGTAAGCAATGCCTTACATTACTTTTGGGTTAATTTTACGTTACATCCCCTGGCTGAGAATTGATCTCTTTCAGAACTTGTTTTCTTCTTTTTGTTTTTAATACAGGAGTTCTGCAATTAACAACACACTGTATAACCTACACCAACATTTACCTTTATAAAAACGCATAAAAAAGATATCTTGGGATACTGTTATCTGAAAACTCCTTTGAAAACATGCCGTATATTCAGATTATAGTTTAAAGCAATGTTTTTGCAACTTTTGCACTATTTGTCTTAAATAAAATCACTGTCCATTGAAATAATCTCCTTTTCTTCGATGCATTCAAAATAATGAACACATTCTCTCATTGACTGAATGATTCATTGTGACTAATTTTAATTCATACATTTATTTTTAAAAGGTAATTAAACTAAAAAGTAACTACGCATTATTTTTTAAGTAACTCAAATATTACTTAATTTATACGAGTAATGTGTTACTTGTTGCTTAGAAAAATAATATTATTAAATAACTTTGCTTTACTTGTAATGCATTACCCAAAACACTGCCTACAATAAGGCATTTACATGAACAACAATGAACAATATATTACAGTAGTTATTTAGCATTGCTAGCATTAGTTAATGACTATTCATGTCAACAGTTAGTTCTTGTTAACTAACAGTTATGGTTTTAATAATGCATTAGAAAATTGAACTATAATTAACTAATCCTGTACAAGTATTGTTCATTCTTTATCCATGTTATTAAATGAATTACCTAACGAAACCTTATTGGAAAAAGTAACCATATATCCACTAAATAGAAATGACTAAATATTTGCTTAAATAAATGCTTTGGTTTGAAAAATACGAATGTAAAACATCATTTATGACTTTGAAAATGCACTATATTGACCTGAATCTTCAATGCAGAAGTGTGGCCATTTTTTGTGATCGTTTTAGATCTTCCAAGTCATTTCTCCCATAGGCAACGGAATAATAAATGACAGAAAGTGGTCAAACTATTTGTTTGTAATACACTTGTGGTCAAACAAGTGTTTGCATGACTACACAAAGCAGAATAATATAACAAGAAAACATCAGTCTTTAAACAGCATAACGAGCTGATTTTAACATCAAAAAATGAATAGAAGAGAATAAGACCGGAAGTCTGGAGCCAACAAGATTTAAATGGCTGTGCCATCTCATATGTGAAGAGTAAGGTGAATATGCACATTTTATTTATTTTGAATTATGATCATTATTCCTTTTTTAGAATATATCAAAATGCAAACGTTTAGGTTAAGGTATGTACACTATAATTTAACAGTTTGCTCTTTTTATACATTTATCAATCATTTGAATTAAAATTAACTGCATTACAATAATAAGAAATATTATGATATCAATGCTTCAATGTCAGCAGCTTTACCAAAAGACAGCAGTGTCACGTGATTACCCCCAAACCCCTTCCAAACAAAAAAACTCAAACCTTATTACTCTGAGCAGTGTATAGTGTACATTATACAGTACTGTATTTAATCAGTTTCAATTTACTAGAGCTTCTTCTATGTTAAGCTGCTTTGACACATTCTACATTACAAAAGTGCCATAGAAATAAAGATGAACAGAATTGAATACGTTCAGAATCTAAAATGTGACCAAATTAATTCAGGAAATCACTGCACATAAATACACAAACAAATATATGCACCCATTATCTAATGCAAATCAAACAGTACACAAATACAATAACAATCAGAGCATTCCAGAATCCCGGAATATCAAATTATAAAAATTGCTTGATGAAAATGCAAAGACGCTCAACTTATAAAATGTGTATTTCCAAAACCACTGTGCAGTGTAATATCTTTTATAAATAAAAAAGCAGACATAAGAGACAGAGAGTGCAGTCTTACCTTCACTGCCGGCTCTGAGTGTGAGGTCTGAAGCCACGCTGAGTGTGCGAGACTCCACTGAGTCCAGGCTCTCCACTGAATCCTCCCTCCTGTAGCTCGGCTGCTTCACACTGTACAGCTCCTCTCGGTCAGAGAACCAGCCTTCCGAATACCCACTGTCCCTCACGCTCAACCTGGATTGTGCCGACTCCTCCAGAGCCTGGTAGAAGAACACACCACAAAAAAACTACAGAGAGGGCCAGGATAGCAAATTACTGAGCTTAAATGAACACACTTTTTACTGACTGAAAAAAAATGACTTCCACACAGAGCAATATGCTGTTCAATGCATTGATAATTACTATGCAAGGACTGACAACACTGACTTACGCCTGAGTGGATCATTTTAACAGTGGCCTGAAATAAAGGGGCATTCTGGACCTGCATGACGTCCTTAATGAGAACAAAGCGTCCAAATAGCATGAGATTTGAACATGTTAGAGGAGCTTGTTTGTTAGACAGTATGGTATAATGTTATGCATTGCGTTTGCAATCCATGGAACTCGTACGGAAGAAAATGTATTGACACTATGTGAAACATTTTTCAATTAAGCAAGGAGGAAAGTGCTTAATCCTTATTTATTCCTATACAATGCAATATATGTTTGTACATCCATCTTTCTATATTTCTATACACACACACATATATACACTCACCAGCTACTTTATTAGGTACACCTTACTAGTACCAGGTTGGACATCCTTTTGCCTTCAGAACGGTCTTAATCCTTTGTGGTACAGATTCAACAAGATACTGGAAATATACCTTTGAGATTTTGGTCCATATTGACATGATAGCATTACGCAGTTGCTGCAGATTTGTCAGCTGCACAATTGTGACACGAATCTCCTGTGCCACCACGTCCCAAAGATGCTCTATTGGATTAAAGACCTTTTGACTGTGGAAGCAATTTGAGTACAAGGCAGGATGAATCCATGCTTTCATGTTGTTGACACCAAATTCTGACCCTACTATCCAAATGTCACAGCAGAAACCGAAACTCATCAGACCAGGCAACGTTTTTTCAATCTGTTATTGTCCAATTTTGGTGAGCCTGTATGAATTAAAGCCTTAGTTTCCTGTTCTCTGAGTGGTATTCTGCTGCTGTAGCTCATCCGCCTCAAGGTTTGGTCTGTTGTGCCTTCAGAGATGCTCTTTTGCCTACCTCTGTTGTAATGAGTTACTGTTGCCTTCTATCAGCTCAAACCAGTCTGGCCATTCCTGTCTGACCCCTGGCATCAACAAGCCATTTGCCTCAACAGAACTGCCACTCACTAGATATTTTTTCTTTTTCAGACCATTCTCTGTAAACCCTAGAGATGGCTGTGCGTGATAATTCCAGTATCACCTTTCTTCCCCATTCTGATGCTCGGTTTGAACTGCAGCAGATCGTCTTGACCATCTCTACATGCCTAAATGCATTGATTTGTTTATATTGTTAAATAGACATTTGCATTAACAAACAGTTGTACCAAATAAAGTGGCTGGTGAGTGTATACAATAGGGTTGGATTTAAAAAAAAAAATAAAACGTTGGGATCATTTTGTACTATTAAAATAACTACAAAATAAAATAAAACATTTCCAAGCACTTAAACTTCCAAAATTCATCATCTGAAAACAAAATTTAGAAGCTGAAAAAAAAAAAAAAAAAATTTAATATTAATCTGTAAACACTTAAATAAAAACTATAAATCTAAATTGTGAATTCCTAAAAAAAAGGAAAATCTTGAAAAATAATAACAATGAAAATGGTAAAAAAAATAAAAATAAAAATAAAAAATAAAAACATAAAAATGACAAAACAACAAAAGAGAATTTCAAAATGCAAGGAAATAAAAATAAGAGGAACAAATGGGAATACCTTAGATAATGCTATGCCAAGTAAACCTTCAAAAGCTTTCAGGTTCAACTGTGGTCCGGTGTAAAACGGATCAGACTGGGCCTTCCTCCCCAACCAGTATATAGTTATCAAAACCTGTGATTCAAAAACATTTTAAAAAATCATAAAAAACTAGAACAAAATTTAAACCCAAATGCAGACTTTACTCATCGTTGACATTACACAACACAAAAAAAAGAAAAGCCTCTGAGAATTGAGTGTAGTGCGTGTTTGCGTGTGGCATGAATGGCTTCTGTGTCCCAGTTTCATCCCTGTTCTCATCTAGAAAGCGATGACCCTTTGCACACACACACAAATCACAGGGTGGCAACATGGCAGGAATGTTGCACATGTACAAGACAATGAACACAACAGTGGGCTATCTGGTGCCTGCTGGATCTCCAGAATTATTCCAACTATTCTAATGAGGAATCAAATAACAGATAGTTGGACAAGAACAGTTTTATCTTTTGAAATGCATTTCTCAGCACATACTCTAACAATATATTATCAATGAAATGCAGAAAAGGGGCAGATTCAAAGCAATCCCTAAATTATTTTTTTTTCTATATATATTTCCTATATATATATATATATATATATATATATATATAAATAAAAACACACATACATGCATATATATATATATATATATATATATATATATATATATATATATATATATATATATATATATATATATTTATTAGGCAATTAATTTTTTCATTAAAAAAAATTGCAGAAACCATACATTTGGCCTTTTTTTTACCAAAAAGTTTCCTACAAATATTATGGTCATTGTTAATAAACAACCTGTTCAATTACACTGAATTTACATTAATTCTCATGACTCTAGCTGAAATGAAACTGCTATGGCCAAATTAAACCATTTAAAATATGTATTATTACAAAACAAAGTTAAAGAAAAAAAGAACACTGTTCATATGTATCTGCATCGGAGTCCTTAATCTATAAAGCATGCAAAGTGGCTTTAAATGTCCAATTCTAAACAACACTTTACTAGACGACTGTAATGAGATACAATTACAAATTAGCTTGTTGGGTATGCAAAATAAAGAGTCAAAGGCCAAATTCACTCTGCAAAGACATACTATACCATGCACAGACACTTAAGTCATTCAACAGAAGTCATTTGTCGGTGATAAAACAAGATAGCAATAGCATAAAAAATAAAACTTACATTTTTTAGTCTTCTGTTTGTCTCTTCACGTCTAAGCAGAAGAAAAGAAGCAGGTTAAATGAAATGAACAGACACAGTTCAGTTCCTGCACCCTATACAGCACAAGCAACTAAATCCATTCCTACCATCCAATAAAATTAAGTCATTGCTATAAATGGGCCGACTACTGTACATGTCACATAAGTCACAAATCATGTACACTGGTAAATATATTAACAAATCAACAAACAAGAATTCCATACAAAACTGCTTATTATAACAAGAACAATCATCCTTTTCGTCACATAAGCAAACACACACACACACACAAAACAGTAATCAGTCTGACAGGGGTACATGCTTGTGTGTGCTGACATTGGACATGCGAGCCATCTGTTTAGCACTATGAACTAGCAAACATGCTTTTGCAGACAAATGCAACCATTTAAGTCCCTAATGCTCATTAAACAGGCATGTTATGTTAAACAAACCAGACAGGTTAAGGAGGAACACTTGATGTAATAGTTCTGTGGTTATTAAGTGAAAGTGTGAATGTTGTTCCATTGAGCCCTAAACCAACATGACCGCGAGAAGGTATGCAAGTTAAAAATAGCAACTGGGTTCACTATAGCTTCCCTATAGCATTTGGTTTGAGGGGACAGTCTTACGGGGCTAATTTTAGAGGTCACTGTGCCCCATCTCCACCCTCTCGTGCCCCTCGTCTCTCTACAAGGCCAATTGTGGGAACATTAAGCTCTCAGCATGGTGGACAAAGTTGATTTATTGTTCAGAGTAGAGTCGGAGTCTGAAAAATGAGGGTGTGAGAAGAAGCAAGAATTGGGACTGAAAGACTTATTGAAAAATACTTCAATGGAAGATTCATATGGTTTTGAAAACATATTGTATAGGGATCATAGAGCACTTGATTAGCATTTAAATTATTGAACTTCCATTAGTATAATATTCAAACCAATAACACAATCAAGATGTAAACTTTAACTTCAAAGAGTGCACAATGCAGGATGGTAGTTGAGAGAATGAATGAGTGATATGATTCAAACTGTACACAAATTGGCCACATGGGAACTATGAGGACTGAATTTCAAACAACATTAATATTTTGTAAAGGAAATTTAATTATTTCTTAACTAGACCAATTTTAGTCTTAAGTTTAACACCTAATCTTTCTATTTAAAAACATGCCATGCTAAGAATAAAAAAAATAAATAAATTAAAAAAAACACTAAATCAAAAAAAAAAAAGTTAATAAAAATGTATTTAAAAGTACTTATTTAAATGAAATGAAAAAAAAAAAACTTAAACATTGAATAAAATAAACTTTAAATAAAATACAAAAATAAAAATTAAATACCAATAATATCAAATTATTTTTAATAGAACAAAAGGGAAAAATATAACATTTAATAAAATTAATAAAATAAAATTAAATAATTAAAATAAAAAATAATACAAAAATAAAATAAAATTAAATTAAATTAAATTAAAAAAAATAAAATAAAATAAAATTAAAAATAAATAAAATAAAATAAAATAAAATAAAATAAAATAAAATAAAATAAAATAAAATAAAATAAAATAAAATAAAATAAAATAAAATAAAATAAAATAAAATAAAATAAAATAAAATAAAATAGCAGCCAGAGTCTTTTGTGTTTAAAATGCAGAGAAAAAGAAAACTCTGGCATTTTTTTAAGTGAACCATGCTTTTTAACAGTGATGCCATGTCTGGCCGTCCTGCCATTTAAATGCTATCAGATTTGATTCAAAATACATTTTCATAATGCAGCTTGCCCAGAACATTAGTCTGCATTGGCCAGTTTTCATTGTTTGAATAAGATGTTGGACAGATTATGTGTGACAGCCTTTCATTTAGTATGGAAATGCAATCAAACCGCAAACACTATTCAAATGAAGCTTGTCCTGCAGTCACCCCTAAAGACTTTACTTCTTTTATACTCCACACAAACAGCTACGGCAATAAAAGTGTAAATACAGATAGATAGTTTTGCATCAGTTTGCATTTAAGCCTTATTGAATTAAACAAGGAAAAAGTCAGAAGAGACATTCAACTCTGAAAGTTTATAGGAGAACTTACAAAAAATTTAAAATCACAATACAATTAAAAAACTATAAGAAAAGAAATAAAGAAATAAAAATGGAATGTTCACTTTCACTTTTCTCTGCTCACCTGACAGTCACACGTGTGGAGACATCCTGCAGGTCTCCAGGATGGAATAGTTGTGCTTCATTGAGCCCTAGCTTCTTGCAAGCCTTGAGAAACACGTTCACATTATCCTGAAGAGAGACCAGGATTGACCATCAACAATGATATCATAAATGAAAAGTTTGACATCATCCTCAAAACAACCAGTGCATTAATAAAGTTGAGATCCAAAACAGAGAAGCTTGAATGAAGAAGCTCAGTTGAAAATAGAGCAGCACAAGCAATGGACTAGGTGAACAGGGGTGGGGGGGGGGAAGACAGCTGTCAGGTGTCCCACACATTCTCTACATTTAAAGCCGGATCCACTGGAGTCAGGGAAAACATCTTGACATTTGCAGATTTAAACCAAATATAGTTAACTTGAATTTTTTACTAAATTAAATCCATTAACTAAATTAAACATATTAATTATTTAGCTTTAAAAATTATTTAACATAAAAATATTTAACGTAAAAATTAACTCAATTAAATGTATTAATTATTTATTATTTAATGTTAAAATTATGTTAAAATAATTTACCAAAAATTATTTAATGTAAAATTTAACTAAATTAAATGAATTAATTATTTATTATTTAACATCAAAAATTATGTTAAAAGCATTTACAATTCAATTAATTAAATCTATGAACTAAATTAAACATATTAACCAGTGCTTAAATTACTAATTACTTGTAAATTACTATTTCCTGGAAAAAAAAAAAACAGGAATTAAAAGTTACCATGACTATCTTCCACCGCACAATTTCAGTTTTCCCGGAACATACTCGTTAAAAAGTGCAAAAAAGAGCATCATATTTCTGAATGGTCTTTAATTAATTTGTGCCATATAATGTTATAGGTCAGTCATGAAAAATAAAAACAAACACAAACATAAATCGTATGAACAATCACTATTCAGTTCACTTCACTAAAAATAATAATAATTAAATGACAGTCTAATCTTCAAGAAGAGCCCACAGTTAGCTCTTCCCTCATGTTTTCTGGCTGTCTTGAGATCGCTTTGTTTCTGTCTCCCGCTATCCTGAGCCATTCATTTTTGCTTTGCTTTTACTTGTGCATGGTGAATACGGTCATGTGTGTACGCACACACACACACACACACACACACACACACACAATTCACACACACATATAGGTATTTACCACCCACAAGTTAATGCAAATATAAATCATTATGTATTTAACCTAAATGAAAAAAATTTGCTCACCAAGCCTGCAATAGGAGTGGAGAGTCTGTTAAGTCGTTTGATGATGCCAGGCTTTAGTGTGTTGATCAGACTAAAAAACAAAACACAAATATACACAGACAAACATTAATTGATTACAAAAATAACCAATTATAAAATAAAATGAAAATAAATGGATTCTAATTATATCTTGATATTTTAAAAACAATGCAATGTTCAAATATATATGTTCAAATTGCTCTTACTCGCACAGAAGAACTCCATCCTCCAAAGCCACTCGAAAAGATTTGCTTCCAAAACTCTTTTTAGTCACTTCCTGTAAAGGGAGAGAAAACGCATCACAGATTTGAACTATGTTTGAAACTCTAACTGTATTTGCCTAGTCTACATACTCTAAAATAAATGATTTTTGTTGATACATGGTTTAAAATAAGCTGAAACAAAACAATTCTAGAGTTTTTTTTGGGGGGGAAGTTAATAGGTTTACGTTCAATCCGCTTAAATTTGATTAGCTAACTAAATTTATTTGTGGTTGGACAACATGAATGAATTGTGTGGAACCTTTCATTTTTACACTGTAGATAATATGTGACCCTAGATCACAAAACCAATCACAAGTGTCAATATATATATATATATATATATATATATATATATATATATATATATATATATATATATATAGAGAGAGAGAGAGAGAGAGAGAGAGAGAGAGAGAGAGAGAGAGAGAGAGAGAGAGAGAGAGAGAGAGAGAGAGAGAGAGAGAGAGAGAGAGAGAGAGAGAGAGAGAGAGAGAGAGAGAGAGAGAGAGAGAGAGAGAGAGAGAGAGAGAGAGAGAGAGAGAGAGAGAGAGATTTATATATATTTATATATATAGATTTTTTTTTTCTTTTTTTTTTGAGATTTATATATCAACTGAAAGCTATTTAATTAAAATACAATTATTTGAAATAAATCATATTTGAAATTTGATATGGCATCTTAAAACCACAGGGGGAGAATCAAGAACACCATTCTCTGTGTAAAAAATAAAAATTAAAGAATCATTGTTGAATAATGCAAAACTATCATGCATGTTGTCATTAACTGTATATATTCATGCATCTGTGGTTGAGATTAATAATGTTTAAATGCACAGAAACCACACGGTGATGAAACAAGACATGAAGACCAGTCAGGGGTGAAGAAAATCTTTGATATATTAATACCTAGGTAGACTAGATGACAAGCAAACAATCCACTCGTTATCAACTACTGCAGAAATAGCATCTGACTAGGTGACTTTGAAAAGGGTGAATTGTTATGACAAGGGGACTTGGTCAGAGCATCCCTGAAGCCATGATTTCGGCCATTCAGGGTGACATAAATTTGACACTTGCTACCAACAGAAAACTTGAAATAGACCGAGTGCACCCTTTTATGATGGTGGTGGTGTCCCCTTGTTAAAGTGAACAATGCTCCCTGCATTAAAAGTGTAATATGCTAGACAACTATATATATATTATTTATTTTTTTATTATTTTTTTTAATCCAAAGCGACTCAACCTAACAACCTACTAAGTGTAGAAAACACCAGAATCCAAATAAGTCATCATCTTAGAATTATGAAGTTCTATCTGACATTTTTGTCAAAATTTTGTTATTGACATTCTTATTAATTTACAACTTATTTAATATGGGCTTTTTTTAAGTTGTTTAAATTTAAAGACTTTTTATTTAAAAAAAAACAATTGTTTCACACATACTGTTTGCTATGGAATGCAAAAACTTTGAAGCTAAATATCTGAAAATCATTCAGAAGGCAGATAGAACCTTATAATTCCAATTTGACGAAGTGTTTGAAGCTTCTTCGATTTTCACTTAAAAATATGCTGGCAGACATTTTCTTTATGGGACATCATTTCACTTTTGCCCGCCTAGCTCAGTTTGTTTGATCACATGTGAACACCACAATCGCACTCAGATTCGTACCAAAACAATAGCTCTGAGATCGCCTGAATGAGGTGGTCTCGGCTCAGTTGAAACTAACTCTGGAGCAGTTCGATTGAGGTAAGAAAGCAATGCCAAATACCATAATAAAATATTGGCATTATTTCAATATGGGAATCCATATAATATTGCTGTAAAACATTGCGATACTTTGGTGTATCAATATTTTCCCCCACATGTACAACTTACAGAACTTGAATAATTGGCATTTTAAAAAATACTGTGTTGTTTTTAACCTAAATTTAGGTAAATTGGTAAACACCAATGACTGAAACAGAAATCAAACATGCTTTGTAACACTTTTGCAAGGACTACAGCTAGAGGGAGAGTGAAATTGATTCACTGAACATTGTTCTAAAACAAACTTTTTTTTGTTTCAAGTTGTCAGGCATTTTCTTTCCTGGCAGAAAACCGAAAATGACATTTTGCACAATAATGTTTTAGGGGCTGAAATAAAATTTAAAAATGCAATCGTTTATTTCTGAAAAAAAACAAACAAAAAAAAACTTAATGGTTAGGTTTTAATTTTTATCTTTATCTTTAAAAAACCCAACTGTTAACAACAGTGTTCCAAAAGGCACCATGTGATGGCTGATGAAATCTCATAAGAACACAAATACAAACAAGATTGCATATTGAAAAATGGATATTAAATATGGTGAATACAATGAGACTTATGAAAGGTATAGTGCATGTTGGCCTCCTGGACATGCATACAATCACACCAGTGTGATTAGCATTGGCTGGTCCCTAAAGCATACAAATCACTCTTGTGATGAGAACGTTATAACGCACATCATCATCTGCTCAAATTCAAACCTGACGATTTGTGCTCAAGAAAGAGGTGCACAGCAAATGTCATAAAAATTACAATTTCTCTGTGTTTGTAAAAAAAAAATGCATTTAGGGTTTCAGACATTCCAATACACATAACTACTAGCTAGGGTTGTAACAATATACCGGTATGACGGTTTACCACGATTTGAACGTGCACGATTATCATACCATGAACAATTGCATATCAACGGTTTTAACCCTTAAAGACCGAGACAGCCGCCCGCGGCTAAAAATAAGTATTGCTCTTAAATGTTTAATAACTTTTGATCCGCTGATCCGATTCATACAATTCAAAGATTGGCATAAAGAAGAGAATCTCAGCTTTCCAGTGCTGTATCACATAACATTCGCGGACTTTCAGAGGCTCCGGAATCAGTGCGGTTACGTCATCAACATTTGACAACGCTGATTTGACAAAGAAACGCTCGTCACTGTGTCTCCGGACAAATCAGACATGATACATTGATGCATTGTCCCTCCTCCATGCCCAGATTGGTTCAAACTCGCTATATCACAACCAATAAGCATAGGTTTCGCTTTTGTTTGTGGACCAAGGCTGTTTCTCAGAGAATGGACTTGCGTTCTTGTAGAGTGCGGTCTTGCCAGCTGTCCTCGGAAGAACGAACTCAGGAGACCGCGAGGGCAGAGAACGCGTCCTTTGAGAAATGGGATGCTGCGTTCTTCCTGATGGTCATGTGACCTTCACGCGTTTTAAATGGAAATTAATTAAACATTACAGCTTTCGTACAACGATTTATTGTTTCCCCCTCTTCAAAATATATACTTTGCATAAAAACATTATAAATATACTCTGCACATTATAAATAAAACAAATTTTAATACGAATTTCATCAAACAAACACAATTAATGTGTTTATTCCTTTATTAAGATGTTCATGTTAATGTTTACCTTCACCGTTTCATTTAGGGAAACTCCTGAGGTAAATAAGTGATATCTCTGAACTTTAATAATAAATCTAAATAAAATGCTGCGCTTCCCACCTCCAGTCGCAATGACTTCTGGGACTTCCAGAGCCAGTTCGGTGCTCAAGTCTGCATCGGTGCGTCCTCGATATCAAGAACACATCCGGGAAGTTTCACGCGTCCTCCGTACTTGCGGTCTTGAGCATTGGAACTGAACTTAGGCAGCTGATGATGACGTTTCACGAGAACACGAGGACGCAAGACCGCTGAAGAATGCATATTGAGAAACAAGCTTTTTGAACAACACGGAATGAGAGAAAGGCATACATTTATGCGCGGCTAAATAAAACGCAAAAAAAAAGTTTTGCATGAAATAATTCTCATACTAAGTACTTTTGCATGCACAGCAGCACAGAAACATGACAAAACAGTGACACAGCAAAGACGAACTGCTGCTCTTGCGGTTTTCAAAAGACGCAAATGAAGATGCAGCTGTTTGTCTGCATTGCAGACAACCATATCCATATCCATAGACAACCATATCCATGCTGGCACATAAAACCTAAGGATGTTCCATATTGAATCTAGTTTCGTTATGTAACTATTTATAGTATAGTAAATATTTATATCTATTTTTTACTGAGGATTTGCACCATGTTTATTTGGACTTTATTTGGACTTTGACACATTATTTATTATTTTCTTATTTTTATTTGTTCATTGTAAGTGGTGTTGTTTATAGTAACTAAAAATATATTATTTGGAAAAAGTCAAATTTGCTTCACTGTTCTATTATTTTGTAACATACCGTATACCGCGAAACCGTCAAACCGTGGTATTGTTTTAGACGATTATCATACCGTGAAAAATTCATACCGTTACAACCCTACTACTAGCAAAACAAACCACCTAAGCTTGTAAAATGCACACGGATGTCTATGGACAGGCAATACTAATTATTTTTCAATATAACTGGATGATGTGCTTTATTCACGCAAGATACAAACAGTTTATGTCAATATAATATTTTCTCTATTTCCCTCCCAGACAAACAGTAACTTACTTCCTGGTATTTCGGAAGAACGTGATGAATAAACATGTAAATCCAGTAGCACTGCTGCACCCATTACCTGTCATTTAAAGGTTCACAAAACCCTCGAGTACTTTTTTGAGATTTTAACAGATTTGGTGTGTTGAGCATCAGTTAAGACAATGTTTACACCTGTCAGCTTTAAATGTGGGGAAAAGTGGATAAGTTTGAGCTTTTTTGAATAAAAAATGAAAATAAATAAATTAACTGTATTGGTCTAATGTAAATCTAAGCATCATATTAGCTAATTGTTTCCCTTTTAAAGATAACAAATGTAGTCAAAGGTGATTGGACCTCTGTCTTTTAATCAACTATATTATAAAATCCAAAATCCATGGTATTTTCATTTTCTTTTTAGACCAGAGCAGCAATGTGTATATTCCATACGAAGTATGACACTGAATGGTCAGTTCTTGTCACGTGACTCGCGGTGCGCTCGCAGCATTCTGAAAAGTTTAAATGTTTTCAACTTGGTA